TCTTCCTTGGCTTCCCCCCTGACGCGCCAGGGTGGCAGTTCTACCACCCCACCTCTCGCCGTGTTCTGTCCTCCCAGGACGTCACGTTTGACGAGTCGGTCCCCTACTACCGCCTCTTCCCCTACCGCACTCCGTCCCTCCCCCCACCACCGCTCTTCCTTGTGCCAGGTCCCCCCCCGGTAGACCCCCTCCCCCCTCAGGGTCCTGCCCCTTCAGGTGTGTCCCAGGTAGACGCAGTCGAGCCTGTCGAGGTTACTGGTGACTCTGGTGCTGCTGAGGGTGCTGAGCCTGGGGGTGCTGACTCTGGGGGTGCTGAGCGTGTGGGTGCTATGCCTGGGGGTGCTGAGCCTGAGGGTGCTACTACTGGGGGTGCTGAGCCTGGGGGTGCTACTACTGGGGGTGCTGAGCCTGGGGGTGCTGAGCCTGGGGGTGCTGAGCCTGGGGGTGCTACGCGTGGAGGTGCTGAGCCTGGGAGTGCGGAGCCTGAGGGAGCTGAGCCTGGAGGTTCTCCGGGTGCTTCGTCTCGGCGGGAGCCACTCTCTCCACAGGAGCTGCGCGAGTGGTTTGCCCGGCGCTGGAGGCGTGCTGCTGGAGCTGGAGGTTCTTCGGCTACTGAGGGTGCTGGTGCCGCGGGTCCCGGAGGTGCTCGTACTGGGAGTACTGGAGCTGCTGGGCCTGCGGGTACGACTGGAGCTGGAGCTGCTGAGGGTGTTGACGCTGAGGCTACTGCTGTCGGTCCTGGAGGCGGGCCTGCTGGGGGTGCTACTGGTGCTGCTGGAGGTACTGGAGCTGGAGTTGCTGCTGGCGCTGGTGCTGCCGCTTGGGGTACTGGTGCTGTCCCTACTGTGTCTGGAGTCGCCGCGCGGCCTCGGCCGTACTTCGTTCCGCTCCTTCAGCAGGTTCTTGGTCTCCCGCCTTCTACTGGCCCTCCTCCTCCCTTAGAGAGTCCACAGCCTATCCTGTCACAGTTACAGTTACAGCCGGCCTCCCCACTGCCCGCTCCTTCTCCCTACACTGGTCCTACTGGAGGTCTTGCTGAGCGTCGTGAGCCTGCGTCGCGTCCTGCGTCGCCTGTCCGTACTGCTCGCGCTAGTGGTCGTGGTTCGCGTCAGCGTCCTCCTCCTGTCCCTGGCACGCACCGGATGTCTCTGCGTCCGTCCACTGCTCCTCTGCGTGCCCCTTTGCCTTCTCCTCCTGAGTCCTCTCTTCCTGCTCTTCCCGACCCAGAGTCGGACTCTCTTCGTGCTGCCAGTCCTACTGTCACGCGTCTCCTTGCTACTGTCGTCACTGACCCTTCCTTTGCGTCCACTGCTGCGTCTGCCCTAGTTGCTGAGCTCGTCGACTTTGCTGCTCGCTGTCGTCTAGACTACGCTGCTTGTCTTGTCGCTAAGTCTGAGTCTGTCTGTCCTCCGTCCGTCGGGGGTGAGTGTGCCCTTGGCACGGACGTCCTTGAGGACAGGCAGGAGGAGTTCCAGTGTTTTGCTGCTGCTTTACCTCATCTCGTGTCCATGCTGCTTGCCCCTGAGGGAGACCCGGATGCACCAGACATCCCGACCCCGCGCTCTTACGCAGAGGCGATAGAGGGTCCCTACTCCTCTCAGTGGCAGTCAGCCATGGACGCAGAGATGGCTTCCTGGAAGTCCACAGGCACCTACGTCAACGAGGTTCCCCCACCTGGGGCGAACATCGTCAGTGGCATGTGGATTTTCAGGGTGAAGCGGCCGCCGGGTTCTCCGCCTGTCTTCAAGGCGCGTTACGTGGCTCGTGGCTTCAGTCAGCGGCAGGGAGTTGACTACTTTCAGACCTTCTCTCCCACCCCGAAGATGACCACTCTTCGGGTACTGCTGCACATAGCTGCTCACCGCGACTACGAGCTGCACTCTCTTGACTTCAGCACTGCTTTCTTGCAGGGCAGCTTGCACGAGGAGATCTGGCTGCGTCGCCCACCTGGCTTCACTGGGTCTTTTCCTCCTGGCACCCAGTGGAGCCTCCGGCGGCCAGTCTACGGTCTCCGCCAGGCACCGCGTGAGTGGCACGACACACTGAGGACTACACTTGCGGCTCTTGGGTTTGCTCCCTCTACTGCCGACCCGTCGCTGTTTCTGCGCACCGACACTTCTTTGCCGCCGTTCTACATCCTCGTGTACGTCGACGACTTGGTCTTTGCCACAGCTGACACTGCTGGACTCGCCCACGTGAAGTCGGAGCTGCAGAAGAGACACACGTGCACAGACCTGGGTGAACTGCGCAGCTACCTTGGCTTGCAGATCACCCGGGACAGAGCACGCCGCACCATTACCCTGACTCAGTCACACATGGTGCAGCAGGTCCTTCAGCGCTTCGGCTTCACGTACTCCTCGCCTCAGGCCACTCCTCTGCCTACTCGCCACTCGCTCTCAGCTCTGCCTTCGGATGAGTCCGTAGAGTCGAGTGGCCCGTACCCAGAGCTTGTTGGCTGCCTCATGTACCTGATGACCTGCACACGACCTGACCTTGCATACCCTCTTAGCATTCTTGCACGCTATGTTGCTCCTGGGAGACACAGACCGGAGCACATGGCTGCAGCGAAGAGGGTGTTGCGCTACTTGTGCAGTACGTCGGGCATGGGGCTTGTGCTTGGAGGGCAGAGTCCAGTGGTCCTCACTGGGCACGCAGACGCTTCTTGGGCTGACGACCAGGCTACGCAGCGGTCGTCACAGGGTTACACCTTCAGCCTTGGTTCCGGCTCTGTTTCGTGGCGGGCTACCCGCTCGTCTTCTGTTCTCGGCTCCAGTTGTGAGGCTGAGATCTACGCCGGGGCCATGGCTGCACAGGAGCTTCGCTGGCTCACCTACCTGCTGACTGACCTCGGAGAGCCGCCTCGTTCTCCTCCAGTACTGTACGTAGACAACAAGGCCATGCTGGCCTTGTGTCGAGAGCAGAGACTGGAGCACAGAACGAAGCACATTGCTCTCCGCTACTTCCTTGCTCGTGAGCTACAGCAGCGTGGTCAGCTGCGGCTTGCGTACGTGGCCTCTGAGGCCAACACTGCTGATATCTTCACCAAGGCACTTGCACCTTGTGATCATCAGCGCTTCTGTACTCAGCTGGGTCTTGTGCCTACCTTGCCTCACTTGCTCACCCCTTGACCTTGTTTGTACTGTTGCATATATATATACACCTGCTCTTGCTTGTCTAGCCTTATATATATATGTAATCCTGCATGTGAACTGGCCTTGTGGCCTTGAACTTGTGCTCGGAATGTGTGGTGACTTTGTGATCCACCCTGAGCTTGTTTTGCTTTGCTTGACTGGTCTTGTGACCCCTTGTTCTCCCCCACTTTGCCTATGGGGGTGTGTCAGATTTATATGACATAGCTACTGTAGGCTATAGTGGGGTAGCACATATGGGGTACAGTTTTCCTAGGGTTTGCATTTGTACCCAACTTTCCTTTAGTCATTCCATTCCTCGTTTCTTCTCAAGACACTAAGGGGTGCAACTCTCTAGGGTTTCATATTTGTATCCATCTCATTTCTAGTTCATTCATTCCTTGTTCTTTCACATCCGCTGCACTTCCTGCACATGTGCGGATCCTTCTACGTTTTGGGGGTGGAAGCGCTCGTTTCGAGCCTTTTTCATCTGCCGGGTCACGTGGCTGCGCTTGTCTAGGCCTATTACCAAGCTAGCAAGGGCGTGAGGGGGTTGCGAGCGTCATCGGTCATCGGCGCTCGCAAATGAAAAGCGCCCGCTGCACTTCCTGTGCGGATCCTTCCGGGATTTGGGGGTGGAAGTGCTCGTTCCGAGCGTTTTTCTTCCGCCGGGTCATATGGTTGCGCTTGTCTGGGCCTATTACAAAGCCAGCAAGGGCGTGGGAGGGTTGCAAGCATCATCGGTCATCAGCGCTCGCGAATGAAGAGCGCCCGCTGCACTTCCTGCACATGTGCGAACCCTTCCGCGTTCTAGGGCTGGAAGCGTTCGTTCCGAGCGTTTTTCTTCCGCCGGGTCGCGTGGCTGCGCTTGTCTGGGCTTATTACGAGGCCAGCAAGGGCGTGGGAGGGTTGCGAGCACCATCGGTCATCAGCGCTCGCGGATAAATAGCGCCCGCTGCACTTCGTGCACATGTGCGGATCCTTCCGTGTTTTGTGGGTGGAAGCGCTCGTTACAAGCGTTTTTCTTCCGTCGGGTCACGTGGCTGCACTGGTCTGGGCCTATTACCAAGCCAGCAAGGGTGTGGGAGGGTTGCGAGCATCATCAGTCATCGGCGCACGCGAATGAAGAGCGTCCGCTGCACTTCCTGCACATGTGCGGATCCTTCCGCATTTTGGGGGTGGAAGCGCTCGTTTCGAGCGCTTTTTTTCCGCCGGGTCACGTGGCTGCGCTTGTCTAGGCCTAATACCAAGCCAGCAAGGGCGTGGGGGGCTCTTCGCGTCATTCCGCCTTTTCGTCTTCAGCCTTGGTACTGCGTGCTTCGCTTGCTGTTGTCGGGAGTGCACTGTGACTTTCTTAATCTACTATTCGTAACAGTACCCCCTAGCCCCATCATTGTATAATACTATATAAACCCAACCTCGGAGCCAGTTCCGTCACGCATCCCACAATTCGTTCGTTACCACGACCACGCTAGTTCGCTATCTAGCATTCGCTCATTCTTTCGCTCAATCTACTGTTTTTGCTTCAATAGTGCAATCTTCGTTCACTCACTCATTTACACCCATAACAACAGTGAACAACCAAAGTTTTCTATATATATGATCACATTCTATAAAATAACAGAATGTACCAAGTATCCTCGTCAAGATCGGGGTCCTGTTTCGTTTTGCCGCGCCTGTGCACTGAGGTAACGAAAATTTGTGGAGACTACAAAGCTCGAGTCCCGTCTTCCTTAGTGCCTCGCCTCTACTAATTAAGACAGCGGCAAACACTAGTAGCACGATCGCGCACGCGTCGTCCATGTTCCCGCCACTGTCCGCATAGACATTCCGCGGCCTTATCAGGCTAACCTTAGCGCGGTGCTGGCTCGCATGGCGCGGCTGCCGAACCTGGTGCTGCCGTGGGTGCCGAGTCCGAACGAGCGAGGGTCGTCGAGCGACCTGCCCACTCCCGAGATTCGAGACGACGTGCTGCGAGCCAGGGTGAAGGAAGGTGCGCGTGGGAATGGGCGTGTAGGAAATGCGTATCCGATCCACGCCAACACTGGATTGCAAATCACATCGTTGCGTCCCACCAACCTGCTTCGTCCTGCTGCTAAGATCGCCCCGGATCGCTCGTTATTGACTCATTGCTGCCGACGCGGCTGCCTCCACGCGCGTGGAAGCGGCGCGTGGCCGCTGCCTTGCCGCCACGGCCCACCTCCTCTCCGTCAACCGACCTCTCACTTCTCCCGCTCCCCTACCTTCTTCCCCACCGCTGCGCTCCCCTCTCCCTACTTTCCCCCACCCCCGTTGCGTTCCCCCCTCCCTGCTTCTCTCCCCCGCGCTGCGCTCCACCCTGCCTGTCTTGCCCCTCGCGGCGTGCGCGAGCAGCGCAGCAGACGGCGGCGAGTGCGCGCGTGGGGTGGGCGGTGCTGCACGTGGTGGTGCCGGCGTCGCTGCTGCTGCTCAACACGTCGCTCGCGCAGGCCCTTGTGCAGCAGCCTGTGGGGTGCGTGCGTGGTAACCATCAGGTGTGAAATGTGGTGTGTCGTATCCACAGCATCTGGTGTGTGCGTGGTCAACACAGCAGATTACAGGATAACCACTGCAGCGGGTAGGTAACCACTGCAGCTGGAAGGTAACCACTGCAGCTGGAAGGTAACCACTGCAGCTGGAAGGTAACCACTGCAGCTGGAAGGTAACCACTGCAGCTGGAAGGGAACCACTGCAGCTGGAAGGTAACCACTGCAGCTGGAAGGTAACCACTGCAGCTGGAAGGTAACCACTGCAGCTGGAAGGTAACCACTGCAGCTGGAAGGTAACCACTGCAGCTGGAAGGTAACCACTGCAGCTGGAAGGTAACCACTGCAGCTGGAAGGTAACCACTGCAGCTGGAAGGTAACCACTGCAGCTGGAAGGTAACCACTGCAGCTGGCACGTGGTGGCTTTCATGTGCGGTATGTGGTAACCAGAGAGTGGTCGCTCACCATGCAGGCGTGCCACTGTCTGGAATGCAACGCGCATCATCTCATCATCCTCACCCCATTAACCTTCCCTCTTCCCACACCCTCCCGCCATCCCCCGTCTTGCCCCGCACTGCACAGGGCGGAAGCGGTGTGCTACGGGGTGCTCTTCCTCGCCACGCTGCTGCAGTACCTCTACACGTCCGGCTCCTCGCCTGGGTGCGTGCGCTCTCCCCTGCTCTGCTCCGTTCTGTTCTCCAGTGCTCCGGTCTTCTCTGCTCTTCGTGCATGATCCAAGCCCCGTGCATGACCCCATTGCATGTGCGTTCTCTCCTGTTCCTCCGTTTTTCTTTCCTGCCCCATTGCACGTGCATGGCATATGAATGGCGTATGAATGGCATGTGGATTCATCTGAGAGAATTGTGCATGGCATGTGAATGATATGCGAGTGGCATGTGAATGCCATGCCAATGTGTGAATGGCACGTTACTGTATGAATGCCATGCAAGTGGTGTGCATGCATACTGGCCGGCAGGTACGTGCAGGATGTGGCTGACAGCCTGCAGGCAGCCGTGACAGCAGCCAATGCACGCCATGCCGCCACACACGCCGTGCCACCGCCTTCACCAGCGTCCCCCGCTCCTACTGTGTCTCTTCCGCAAGCAGAGGCAGCGCCTGCACCGCCACAGGCGGGACGAGCAGCTTCACCCGCCAACTCGATTTCAGCTGCAGTTGCAGTGGCAGCACAAGTGGCACCAGCAATGGCAGCAGCAACGGCAGCAGCAACACCACAGGGGGCAGGGGAGGTTGAAGTGAAGGGCGACACAGAGGATGGGGTTAGTGAAGCAGAGGAGGAGTGCGATGGGGCAGTGGATGGGGTGGGCGTCAAAGGGGGTGAGAGTGCATTGCTGGATGGGGTGAAGGATGAGACGAGCAGGGATGACGCTTCCCTTGCTGCAGCCCCCTCCTCCCATGCATCCCATCCATTCCAACCATCGCACTCGTCCCATTCATCTCTCACCTCCTCCAGATGGTCCACTCCACCCGAGTCCTCCCTCCCACATGCCGCCCCACCCTCTCCCTCGCCCTCGCCCTCACCCTCTGCGTCCGACGCGCTCCGCCTGTCACACGCCCGCAGGGCAGCAGCAGGCGAGTCTGCTGTCCTCCCCGGCCTCCTCACTCCTCTCCTCGCCTCACCCCACCCCTCTGCACCACGGGCTGTGCGCCAGTCCTCCCCATCCTGCGTGGTGGTGCCCCTGCCCCCTCCCAGGGGGAAAGGGGGTGGCGAGGGGGGCAGGGGGGAGTCTGGTCTGCACTCTCAACCCCTTCCACTTGCTCCCAGCGCTGCGCACCCCCATGGGCCCTGGGCCCTGCTCGCGCCCTGCCTGCCAGGCTGCCGGTGGTGTGGGCACGTGGGGTGCAGGTGGTGCGGGGACAGGGGGTGCCGCTGGTGTGGCGACGGGGCGGATGCACCGTGCGATGACGTGGAGAGAGGGGCGGAGGCTGCAGAGGGAGAGGGGGAGGGGGAGGGGCGCAGCTGCTGTGGGGCACGGGCGTGGGGTGCTGCGAGGGTGGGAAATAAGGGAGATGGGGGAGAAGAGGGGGAGGGAGGGGGTGTTGAAGGGAGGGATGGAGAGGCGAGATTGTTGCTGCTGCCGCTGCCAGCACAGCCATCTCGACTCACAGCAGCGCAGTCAAACTTCCTCGTCTCCCAATTCAGGTCTCCCCACCACTCCCTTCCTCTCACGCACACCACGTCCCCTCTCTCTTGCCTCCTGCGCTGCATCTCTTGCAACCCCCCATCTTCCTGCAATAGCTTCCCGCTCTCTTTCCTGCCGATGGTAGTGCTACCTCAAATTCCCCCCTCCATTTCCCCACCCCCCCCTTCTTAATCCCAGCAGTGCGCGGCGGTGGTGCCCGTACTGCCGGGTGCAGCAGCCGGTGCGCGCCAAGCACTGCTACGACTGCGGCCGCTGTGTGCTGCGCTTCGACCACCACTGCTTCTGGGTCTCCACCTGCATCGGCCTGCGCAACCACGCCCGCTTCTGGTAACCACGCCCGCTTCTGGTAACCACGCCCGCTTCTGGTAACCACGCCCGCTTCTGGTAACCATGCCCGCTTCTGGTAACCACGCCCGCTTCTGGTAACCACGCCCGCTTCTGGTAACCACGCCCGCTTCTGGTAACCACGCCTGCTTCTGGTAACCACGCCCGCTTCTGGTAACCACGCCCGCTTCTGGTAACCACGCCCGCTTCTGGTAACCACGCCCGCTTCTGCTAAGCATGCTTGTTTCAGATGTGTATGAGGTGAACCTATCTTGCTTTGACAGCTGCCCCGCACTTAACAGAACTCAGCCGCTTCATCTTTCACCACAACCACTTGCTCCACACGTGTTCCCTCCTCCACCCCCTTCCTCCCCTCCTCCTCTTACCAACCCCTGGTGCGGTGTGGCACGGCATGGTGGGGTGGAGCAGGGTGTACCTGGTGTTGGAGTGCTGCCTCACGTGGTGGTCGCTCATCATCTGCCTCTCCGCCTTCACCGCCCCCGTCTCACCCAACCACTGGTCCGTCCCTCCTTGCCCCATCCCTGCCTCACCTCCCCTCACACCCGCCTTGCCCCATCCACAGCATGCCACCCACCTCTCATCCCCTGCTTCCATGTGCCCTCCCCCATCGCCATCCCTGCACCATCCTTCCATGTCCCCCTCCACTGTCCACCCCCTCCCCACCGGCCACCAGGCTGGAGCACCAGCTGTCAGCGCTGGCGTTCACGGCGCTGCTGCTGCCGCTCGCCGTGTTCCTCGCCATCCTCGTGTGCTTCCACACGTGAGTCAAGTCACTCTGCCACACGTGAGTCCCTCTGCCACACGTCAGTCCCTCTGCCACACGTCAGTCCCTCTGCCATCCACTCGTGACTCACTCTGCCACTCGTGAGACTTGATCTGCATGTCTCATGTCTATACGACTCTCCCCTCTCTGTGGCTGACTGCGTGTCTTGCCATGCTATGCCATGCGATGTCATGTTACGCCATGCCATGCCGTGCTTTGCCATGCAGGCACCTCATTCTCACGGCACAGACAACATATGAAGCCACCAGGAAGCATCGCATCTCCTATCTGCGGTGCGTTGTGCATGCCAGGCACATTCATTGACATGCCGGGCACTTGCATTGTCATGCCAGGCACATGCCTTGACGTGCCGGGCACATGCGTTGACATGCCAGGCACATGCATTGACATACCAGGCACATGCATTGACATACCAGTCACATGCATTGACATACCATGCACATGCATTGACATACCATGCACATACCTTCACGTCCCAGGCACATGCGTTCACATGCCAGGCACCTGCATTGACGTGCGACATGCCAGGCACATTCCTGTCCGCCGACGCATCACCGAGTGCGCACTCCCCGTCCATCGCTGCCTGCTGCACCACACTGCAGGTCGGTACCCGGGGACGTCCATCCGTTCAGCCAGGGCGCCTGCCGCAATGTGCTGCACCTGTGCTGCCTCAGTCGCCATGTGCTGCCGCTCTATGCCGTCCCATCGCCAGCCGTGCTGCACGCCATGGCCTCAGGGGCGTACACCACTCGCTCACGGACGTGGGGGGCGTGTTGCTCCTGATGCCTGCTCCTCCATCAGGGACCCCGCCTGTACCATATCTCCGTTTCAGTCCAGTTCTTATTGTCCTGCTGCATGGGAGTGTGCATCAGGCTTCTTTGGATGGTGACTAATGGCATATGCCATACCATGCTTTCCTCACTTGAAGAGCTCAACGCAACACTTGCCACTTGTCATGTAATACTGTTTTCTTCTATTCAACTTGGCATCAAGCCGTACACTAGTCGTCCCAGCTTGTTGCACGCAGAAGCAATGATACAGAAGATTTTACTTCTTGACGGTTTGAAGCACCTACACATCTCTCGTACACGGCATGTCATCTGCGTGCTGCCGGCCTGCCCTTCTCCTTCTTCCCCTTGCTCTTGTTGGACGCCGCTTCTGCCTCCTCTTCCGCCTTCTGCTCGGCCTCCAGCTTCTCAAGCTGCAAGGCAAGTAAATACGGACGAAATCAGATTCACGCGTGTACACAGAATGGAGTGTATTACAACGGCAGTACTGGCAGGATTCATTAAACCATGACATGGGAGGAGGGGCGAGGAACAGACCTCAGTGAGGACGGGCAGCAGGTCGCGGTAGCGCGCCTCACAGAGCTCAAAGCCATCCTTGCGCAGCTCCTGGGGCACGGAGGGGGGGAGGGGCAGGAGGATGAGGAACGCAATCAACCCCATGGGGTGCACCTCGTGTGCTCCGGGGCAGGCAAAGTGCAGGCACTGACTGGCGTATCAGAGCATGGAAGACGGGATTTGGGTGGCTGGCACCACACACACTCGTTTCCGCTTCAACATGCAACCGCCTCGTTCACGAGCCCTGTCCACCCCATACCCAGCAAACAGCAATGAGCCGAACATGCCATGACGCATCTTGCCGGTGCGCTGGGTGTGTTGGTACGCCTCGCGCTGCCAGTGCTCGCCCGTGCGGGCAAAGAAGTCCCTCAGCGACTCGCCAGGCTGCCAGCCACACATGCCCACACACACGCGCGCGCACGCGCGCGCGCACACACACACACATGCACACACGCACACACACGCACACACACACACACACACACACACACACACACACACCGGGAGGGGCACTTGGTAACTCAACTGAGTGACAAGACAAATGTCCGGCAACACAGAATGGAGGTGGTGCAAGGTGCATACATGGAGTCCTGTGACTCGCGACTCACAATGGGCGTCCTCGCCGTGTCTGCAAGCCCCAGATCCGCGCGAATCCGGTCAATCTCCGCCCGCCTCTCCTTGCGCGACAGCTGGCGCTTGCCGCCCGCAGGAGCCTCGCCCCTCAGAAGCGCCGCTGCCAGCTCCGACGCCGTGGCGGCGCCGCCCGTGGCCTGGCGGTTGGATGGTGGGGAGGGCGGCGCATGCAGACTTGGTAAAGGTGCGACCAACAGGAGGAAGCTGGACGTGCATTTGGCTGAAACTCCAGCCATGAGTTCTAGGGACGGTCATACCTTGGCAGCATTCAGCAGACAAATGAGGAGGACACACCTTGGCTGAAGTCTCATCGTCGCTCGACTCATCCTCGTCCTCCTCTTCCTCCCCACTCTCCTCATGGCCGCTCTCCTCCTCATCGTCCTCCTCCTCCTCCGCCACCTCCACCCATGTGCTCTCTGACCCCTGCACTTGATGTTAACACACACATGCAGGCGGTAATTGTGACACGGCGCGCAGCAAGCAGCATGCAGAACAGGCCCAAAGAACATGAATCACATGAAAAGTGAGCAAGGCAGCATGATCATGACCACGAGCTGTGAATGTCCCCTTCCCCTCCCAGCCTTGTCGTAGCGCAGGTAGCAGTGAGAGCAGCACAAGTATTGCAGCTCGCAGCACCAGCTACAGGGAAATGAACGGAATATTGGCCTTTAGGGTTGGGGTGGTGCTGCCACTCACCTTGTGAAGGCACGTCCAGTGGTCGAGCTTGGAGAGGTTGAGGCTGAAGAGGTCGTCCAGAGTCACCTCGCGGTCGCCCACCTCCTTGGCACCCCCCCACAGGTACAGCGTGTTGCCACCCACCGCCAGCCCCGCATTCATGCGGCTGCACGGCGCCTCCCCTCGCTCCCCCTTCCCGCCCCCCTCCCCCTCCTTCCTCTCCTTCCCTTCCCCTGCTGCCTCTCCGCCTCCCCCTGTCTCATCCCCCCCTGCCTCATCTGCCCCTTTCGCTTGGCTACCCTCAGCATCCTCCTGCCTGCCCTCATCGCCCACACCGCCGACCTCGCTGCCACTCTCAAGGCTCAGTCTCTGCAACCCGCCCTCCACCTCACCGCCACTCCCTTCCCTTGCCCTCCCTGCTGCTAATTCTCCGCCCTCACTGCCCCTCCCCTCTGCCTCTGCCGCCCCCTGCCTGCTCACGTCCACCCCTCCCGCCTCACCCATCTCGCAATCCCCGCTGCCTGCCCCTCCCTCCACGCCCAGTGCTGCACTCCCCTCTGCTGCAGTGCCGCCAATCGCCTGCTCGCCCCCCCTCGCACCCCCACTGCCATCCCCCGCCTCCTCCTCCTCCTCCTCCTCCCACCCCTCCCACTCCTCCTCGCCTCCATCGTACTCCACCTGCGCCCCTGCTGCTGCAGCTGCAGCAGCTGCTGCTTTCGACTTGGCCCCCTTCCTCTCCTTCCGCTTCAGTCTCTGTTTCCTTCGCCCAGTCACCTCCTCCTCCTCCTCCTCGCTCTCACCATCATTGCCTGCCTGCCTGCTCTTCCTCCCCTCCGTCTCCTCGTCACTCTCGCCCTCCACCTCCTCCCCATCTGCCTGTGTGCCGCTCGTTGCTGCACTGCCTGCATTTGGCTGGCCGACAGGGGTTCGAGGGGCAAATAGGGGTAGGAAGGGGCAAAGGCGGGTGGAAAGGGGAAAGGAGGGATGGAGAGGGGAAAAGAGGGGTGGAGAGGGGAAAAGAGGGGTGGAGAGGGGAAAAGAGGGGTGGAGAGGGGAAACGAGGGGTGGAGAAGTGGAGAGAGGGGGTCGACAGGGGCAAATGTGGTGGAGGGGGGCAAATACAAGTGGAGGGGTGGACTGCCTCCCTCCTTCCACTATCTCTTCTGCCTCCCTCTCTGCTGGCTCACCTCTGCCTTCCTGGCAGCCGCCCGGGCCTGTTGCTGGGAGCGCAGGAGGAGGGGGAAGCAGCGGCGCGAGTGCATGTGGAAGGCAACCATGTCGCCCAGACACGTGCTGCGCAGCACATCGCCGCCTGCACCATGGGGGGCCGGGTGGGAGGACCGGAGGAGGAGGAGGAGGGGTAGCAGCAGGTGTAAGAGCAACAAGAAATGGTGTTGTGGGAGGTTTGGCAGAGGAGACGTGAACCGAGGGAAGGTGGCCGAATGAGAGTGAGCAGAGGGGAGAGGGCAAGGGCGGGGGGGAGGGGGCATCGGCGGGGAGAAGATGGCAAGGGCGGGGGGGGAATGGCAAGGGCGGGGGGGGAATGGCAAGGGCGGGGGGGGAATGGCAAGGGCGGGGGGGGAATGGCAAGGGCGTGGGGGGAATGGCAAGGGCGAGGGGGGGGGGAATGGCAAGGGCGGGGGGGGGAATGGCAAGGGCGGGGGGAGGAATGGCAAGGGCGGGGGGGGAATGGAAAGGGCGGGGGGGGAATGGCAAGGGCGTGGGGGGAATGGCAAGGGCGAGGGGGGGGGGAATGGCAAGGGCGGGGGGGGGGAATGGCAAGGGCGGGGGGAGGAATGGCAAGGGCGGGGGGGGAATGGCAAGGGTGGGGGGGGGGATGGCAAGGCGGGGGGGGGGGATGGCAAGGGCGGGGGGGGAATGGCAAGTGTGGGGGGGGGGATGGCAAGGGCGGGGGGGGGAATGGCAAGGGCGGGGGGGCGAGCTTACCTTTCTCCTCGCGGTCCATGACGCCCCCAAAGAGAATGGCACGGCTGCGGTGCACCGCCAGGGAGAAGCCCGCCCTCGCACTCGGTGGCGACCCCAGCCGCTTTACCTGCACGCAGGGGGACAAGGTGAGGAGGCAGAGTGAGGCGCATGAGAGGGTCGTTGCAAGGCCTCTTGACAGCACTCACACAGCAGATGATGCGTAAACATTCCAGGGTCTTTTTCTCAGAATCTGTTTGGCACGATGGACGGTGCACCACTGGAGCAACGCACCTTGTTCCACTCGAAGGAGCAACGCACCTTGTTCCACTCGAAGGAGCAACGCACCTTGTTCCACTCGAAGGAGCGCGGGTCGAGCAGCCAGAGGTCGGAGAGCACGACGCCCTTGTCCTTGCCATCCGCGTCCTTGGCGTGATCCTTGAAGTAGCCCCCGTACACATACACCTGCGCCATGTCACGGCACCATCAGCTCCCAGCGTTGCACACGCATGTGAGGCACTAGGCAGTGGCATGCGCGCACAGGAATGACGAGCAAACTGTGCGCTTTGATTGTGCAGCAGAGCAGGCGCATTGCATGGCAGGCAGGGGGTGGCTGACCTCGTCCTGGTGGGCGGCGAACTGGAAGGCACTGCGGGGGGAGGGCCACGCCGCCCCCGGCTTGGGTTTCACCTCGCACCACTGCGACAGGCGCATGGCCCACGGAGGTGGGGGGGCAAGGAGGGGAGAGACGGTGGCAGCATGGAGGGGGGTGAAATCAGGCATACTGATCAGCCTCAACCAACAAGCTTGAGTCACGAATGCGAAGCAAAGAGAGCGGCTCAGTGTTGTGGATCCTAGTAGAGCGTAGAGACTAGGACAGAGAGAGCACCTGGTGTTATCAGAATGACATGAATGGTGCAAGCAGTGCAGTGGCCCTGTGACAGCAAGCAATGGCTACACGAGTTGAAGGAGCAGCAGGGGCCAAGGGTGCAAGGGCACGTGCCTTCATGTCGTTGAGGTCCAACACATGCAGGTCGTTGAAGTAGCTGCAAGGGGGGTGGCATGGGGAGGTGGAGGGGGGAAGGAGAACGACACAAGAGCCAAGGCGCGTGAGGCACATGGCTGCTTCCAGTGCCGCACGCACGCACGCATGCACAACGGATCGCTTTGCAGCGCTGGGCTCGTGGACGGTGGCAACTGTGGATGAGGGGTGATGGAGTGAGCTCAAGGCAGTGAAGGCAGTGGTGCTTCTCGGGTCTTGGAAGGTGCTCGGATTAAGTGCTGCTCCTTGTGCCATGGCCTCAGCCACATAACGCTAAAGCAGCGCGAGAGTGAGTGTGGGCGTGTCCTCGCCTAATAACCCCCGGCTTTGCATCTCATCTCATCACAGCACACCTTGCTGAGGTTGCCCGGGACTCACCGCACATCCCTAAGGTTGTCATAGAACCCTCCAAACAGCAGTATTTTCTGCTTGTACAGCACCTGCCCTCCAACGCAACGAGATAGGGGAATGGGATGGGGGTTCAGTTGGATAAGTCAAGTGTAGGGCTGAAATGAAACGGGAGATTCTTTGTTCCAGATGCTCCAACATGAGAGAAAAGTTGGCTGCAAGTATTGGAGATCTGGATGAGATGCAAGCCCTTTGGTGCATGAAAAGTGCTGCCTTCAATTCGACAGGGAAGGTAGCGCCTCACCATGCGCTGGCCTCACCATGCGCTGGCCTCACCATGCGGTGGCCTCACCATGCGGTGGCCTCACCATGCGGTGGCCTCACCATGCGGTGGCCTCACCATGCGGTGGCCGGAGCGGGGCGAGGGGGCGCCCTTGAGGTTCAGCTGCTCCCACTCGTTGCTGTTCAGATCCAACCGCCATAGGTCCTGTGGTCATGGGTGGCACACACAGCAGGGCGCACAGCAGGGCACACATCAGGGCACACAGAGCAGGGACGTGGAGTGGCAAATATGTTGACTCTAGCAAGGCACAAGACGAGATGCATCACTGGTGTGTCGTGAATTGAGTCCTAGGATGCATGCACGTGGGTCCAGCGCAGCACAGCAGCAGCGCGCACCTTGAAGTGGTGGAACCTCTCCTGATTGGGCGACGTGAACTCGCCACCTGTTACCACACATGTCGCACAGCACACACAGCACACTGTTATAGTCACAATAGGCTTGAATGTGCCTAAAACGAAAGATAGAGAGCACAGACGGATTTCTGCACAGCGGCTTCAAACGTTGATAGCGTTCTGCTCACAGCTGCAAATGACCTGATTCAAATTGGATCTGGAGCGTCTTCACGTGGTCTACAATTAGCAATTTAGATTGCACGATTTGATAAAGAATTGACGACACAGCGTCAGTTTGAACGAACGGTACTATGGCAGCCACTATAGTCTTAGAACACAAGATAGGAAGAGTTACGAGTTGGGAATGACTCCCAGCTCCTACAAACCCCAAGAGCCGAGGTACAGTGATGTGGAACAGTGCCACACTGTCCCCAACCACGAAGGGTCTCGAAACTACCCTTCACTAGGGCCTACACCAAGTGAAATGTTACACTACACAAAGTAATGTAACTATCTTCAATATCTTGAGGTGTACCCTTTTGGCGAGCTTCGAAATCACTTGAGGCTTGACACCAAGGCTCGGGCTCTTCATCACAAACTCATCCTTGAGTTCTTGATGGGTCTGCTGCACACACCTGCGACACGCCGAACGTTCGACACAGGACAAAATAGAAACCGCGCACGACAAAATAGAAACCGCGCGCGAGACACAAACGACCGCGTAACACGCGTCTAGCGATAACTCGCTATTGACTCGACACACACACTCGACATCATGACTCAACATTCACACACAATTATAAGCATGAAATATATATTATCCCATGCCCTCATACCATTCCATACACACACACATTCACGCACACGGACAACAAGCCGAATGCAAACCGTAGGGTTGCACCAACAAACTCCCCCTCGGATTGTTGGCCTTAGGATATGTTGCTCTCTCAGTTCAGAGCCATCCCAGCCACCTTGCAACACTTCCAATGCTGCTGCTCCACCAGCCTCTTGGTCATCATGTCAGCCGGCTGCCCCGTGGTCTTCACGTAGCGCAACTCAACTTCACCCGCGGTTACCATGCTCCTCGTCCAATGCCACTTCACTCTCATGTGCTTCGTGAGTCCATGCAACACAGGGTTCTTAGCAAGAGCAATGGCACCCTGGCTGTCACAGTACAGTGGAGTAGGTCCTTGCTGCTCCTCCCCCAATTCAGCGAACAAACGCCGCTGCCACACAATCTCCCGTACGGCACGGAAGAGTGCCATGTACTCGGACTCCACCGAGCTCAAAGCTTGGTCAACCTGCTTCTTGCTCTCCCAAGCAGTTGGGCCTCCACCAACACAGCATATGAAGCCTCCCACACTTGTCATGTCCTCTGGTTCTGATGCATATGAAGCATCGGAGTAGGCAATGAGGAACAAACGCCCGGGTTCAACACCATCCGCGCCCTTTTGGCGCCTTTGTGCCGCCGCCGAGTATTGCAGCCCAACGGTCGGTGTTTGGCCAAGATACTTGGCCACCCTCATTCCAGCTGCTACCTGCTCCTCATTAGGGCATTGCACAACCCTAGCCAGCTGCCCGGTAGCAAACGCGACGTCCGGTCGGGTGTTTACCGCCGCATACATGAGGCTGCCCACCAACGAGTGAAATCGGCGCCTCTCCTCTTCACCAACGCTCTCCTCCTCTGGTCCTTTCACACACTTGAACCCAGAGGGAAAGGGTGTAGCCACATGGCCTTCACTCTGCCCAAATTTGGCAGCCAATGCCTCCAGGTACTTTCGTTGATGCACCCGCATGCACCGCTTCTCCACATCTCGTTCGATGTGGAGCCCAAGGTAGAAGCTCACGTCACCAAGGGCCTTGCACTTGAACTTGTCTTGAAGCTTCAGCATCACCTCCTTCACAAGGTCAGAAGAGGGTGAGAAAATGAGGATGTCATCCACATAAACCACCATGAAACTCCTCTGCTCCCCCTCGCCAAGCATGAACAAGGAGTGATCGGCCGTTGAGGGAGTGAAGCCGATCCCCTCCAACACTTCGCGCAGCTTCATGTACCATTGCCTAGGGGCCTGCTTCAGCCCATAGAGGGCCTTCTTCAGCTTCCACACTCTGCCACTACCATCATCAAACCCCTCTGGCTGCGCCATAAAAATCTCCTCCTCAAGGATGCCGTTAAGGAATGCCGTTACGATGTCCATTTGTTTTACTACCCATCCTTTGATGGCGGCTCCCGCGAATAGGGTTCGCAGCGTCGTCGGCTTCACCACAGGGGCAAACAGCTCCTTGAAGTCCACCTTCTCCTTCTGCTGGTACCCCTTGGCTACAAGCCTAGACTTGTAGCGCTCGATCTTGCCGTCGGCATCCGACTTGATTTTGAAGAGCCACTTGGACGTTATCGCCGTACGCCCCTCCGGTAGCTCCACCAATTCAAACGTGTCATTCTCCTCGATGCTCTTCAGCTCACTCTCCATGGCCTTCTTCCACTCCTCAGCATCACTACTCTCCAAAGCCTCCTTGAGAGTTGCTGGTTCTCCCGGCATCTCCACCGGAGAGAAGAACGCGAAGGCACACTCCTCGTAGTCACTCTCCTCGTCGTCTCCGACCATCATTGCCGCTCCGGCCAGGGCTGTCTTGCCCTGCTTTCCCGGCGCATCATAGGTCAGCCTATTAGGGGGTTGAAATCTTCTCTTCCCCCTTCCTTCCTCCTCAGCTGCAGGGACTTGAAGGCCTTGGCGTTGCTGCGGTGTGGCTCGAATCCGTGGAGCACTCGTAGTACGGGAAGGGAGTGACGGTGCACGCTCGCTCACTTGCTGCACCTCCTCCTCTTCTTCCTCTGCATCATTGGCCTCCTCTCCCCCATTCACAAGGGAGGATTGCCTTGTGGTTGTGCTGCCGCTGCTCAGTTCCAAAGGCAGCTCCACATGCTCCAAACCGGAACTCTTCACCTCCCCAAACCGCACGCCTATCTTCGCCTCATTCTCCGCCTTCCAATCCTTGTACATGAAGTTTTCCATGAACTTGCAGTCCCTGCTCACCAAGAACTTCTTGGTGAATGGGTCCCAAAGAAGCCATCCCTTGCTGTTTTGAGTCATGCCCAAGTGCACGGCCCACACCGCCTTGGCACCAAGCTTGTTGTGCCGAAGATGCTTAGGCACGAGCGCCATGCACATGCACCCGAACACCCGAAGCATATCCACCTTTGGCTTCCTTCCTAGCCACTCCACATAGGGCACCCATTTGTCTGCTCCCACATGAGTCAAGGCTCTGTTCTTGGCCACACACGCGCTCCGCACCGCATCAGGCCAGAAATAGTCGGGTAGCCCGGCTTCAATGAGCAACCCGCGTGCCGCCTCCGTGATTGTGCGGTTCGCTCGCTCGGCGATGCCGTTCATTGCAGGGGAGTATGGCATGGTGAGGGAGTGCCGAATACCATTCTTCTTCAGCCACAACCCAAACTCCTTGCTCAGGAACTCTCCCCCTCGATCGGTGCGGATTGACTTGACTAGACGGTCTTGTTGCCGCTCCACCATCGGGAACCAATCCGTCTTCAACGTTTCAGCCACGTCGCTCTTCTTGGCCAGCACGTACACCCAAGTCATGCGGGTGTAGACGTCGACAATGGTGAGAAAATACTCAGCTCCAGCAGCTCCAAGCTTCAGGGGGCCCACCACGTCCATCACCACCTCATCAAGCGGTGCCTTTGCCGTTGCCTCCGAACTAGGGAACGGAAACCGGGTGAACTTGGCTTGAATGCACGTCGGGCAGCCAAGCACCTCATCGGGCTCCCCCTTCACACGTATGCCAGCAACCATCTCATTCTTCACTAGCTGCTGCAAGATGGGCAGGGCCACATGCCCCATGCGCCGATGCAAGGTGAGCCAATCACACTCCCCCGTAGCCGAAGTTGGATTGGAGAATGCCGCGCTCGCAATAGCGCCCCACATACTCTCTCCGTAGTCCTCCTCCGCTGCTGCCTCTGGGTTCTCCTCACCCTTTTGCTGCTCCTTGGTTGCTGCACCACTCTCCTTAGGTTCACTGAACTTGCTGGTCCCTCCAGGTTTGCTCTTCTTGAGCTCATTCTCCTTAGCGCGACCGTTCGCGCCATCGTCGCTACCGACCGCTCCATCCTTGGTGCTGATGCTTGCTGCCACTTGCCTCTCCTTAGGCATAGGGACCACTGGGATCTGCCACATCTCGTTGTAGACATCCCTGTCCTCATGAAGGTCCCAAAGAATTCGATCGCCAAGCCTTGCGGTGTAGGTCTTGGCTCCCTTCGAGTTCGTGTCCATGCCGGCCTTTGCCAACCGCCGCACGGAAATCAGGTTTGCAGCAAGGCTGGGCACCCAAAGCACGTTCTTGAGGCCCACCATCTTCCCATCAGCACCCTTGAACATGGCCTTGCCCATGCCTTTCACCTCTGCTCGCTGCCCCAAAGCCGATGTGACATGCTTCACCGGTGACGGCTCGAGTTCGGTGAGCAAGTCCGGGCGAGGTGTCATGCTATAGGTAGCGCCACTATCAATCACCCAATAGTCCAGGGGGTGTAGGGTCACCTTCCCCACAGCTGCTGGCTCCTCAAAGCCTTCATCCTTCTCTGGACCAGCCGGTACTTGCGTCGACACAAAGTAGAATAGACCCGGGTATCGATCGTCGCTCGGGTCCTTGTCGTTGTCTCCGCTCTTCATGTTTGCAGCTCCGCCACCGCGACCGCCACGGCCTCCACGGCCTCGTCCTCTCCCTCCTCCTGCTCCTCTACCCTCTTGGCCTTGAGCAGGGGTCCAACCATCAGGGAGTGTGTAGCAGTCGCGCCACATGTGTCCGCTCTTGTGGCAATAGTGACACTCGCTGTCGAATCGGCCGCGACCGCGTCCGTAGCTCTTGTCGTCGCTGCCGTAACCGCCACTCCTGCGGCCTCCGCCGAAGTTGCTGCCACCAAACCTTCCTCCCCCTCGTCCTCTGCCTCTTCCTCGACCATATCCACGGCCGATGCTCGCTGCCCCAGCGCCATCCGCACTCGCCAACTCACGGCGGCGGAAATCCTCTTGAAGGATAGCTCGCTTCACGTCTTCAAGCGAGAGGCGGGGCAAGTCGCGATTAAGGTTGATGATGAGCGAGGACCATGACTCTAGGAGTAAGGCCAGCAACTTGGTCTTCTTTTGGAGCTCACTGTAGTTCAAATCAGCTCCCTCAAGCCGCGTCAACAAGTCGAAGAATTTCTGCACCCCTTCTTCAACCGCTTCGTCTTCTTCAATTCGTAGTGCCGCCATTTGCCGTTCCAACACCACCGCTACCGCCGCTATTGCAGGAGCATGTACACCCTTGAGAGCAGCCCATGCCTTTGGTCCTTTCTCTGGTTCACGCTGGAATGGCTTGATGTGACGGATCTGACTGCTCCCCAACGCTTGCCCAAGTAAGAGATAGCCTTGTGCGCTCTTCCGCACCCACGGGCTCTTCTCCGGGTCGTTCTCGGGGCGCTTCTCCGTTCCTTCCATCACCTCCAGCAGGTCATAGTGGTCAAAGATGTTCTCCATCTTGAAGGACCATTCAGCAAAGTTGTCACCGTTGAACTTGTCAAGCCCAAACACCCTAGGCTCATCCCTAGGTGGGCCAAGACTTGGTTGCATGGGCGCCATGGCTGAATCACGGGGTTGGCCTTGAGCTTGAGCTTCTCCACTGCCACCAGCACCTCTGTCACCCCTTTCCTCAGGTCCAGACATTGTCGAAACTTCTCCAAGGGGCTCTGATACCACTTGTTATAGTCACAATAGGCTTGAATGTGCCTAAAACGAAAGATAGAGAGCACAGACGGATTTCTGCACAGCGGCTTCAAACGTTGATAGCGTTCTGCTCACAGCTGCAAATGACCTGATTCAAATTGGATCTGGAGCGTCTTCACGTCTTCTACAATTAGCAATTTAGATTGCACGATTTGATAAAGAATTGACGACACAACGTCGGTTTGAACGAATGGTACTATGGCAGCCACTATAGTCTTAGAACACAAGATAGGAAGAGTTACGAGTTGGGAATGACTCCCAGCTCCTACAAACCCCAAGAGCCGAGGTACAGTGATGTGGAACAGTGCCACACTGTCCCCAACCACGAAGGGTCTCGAAACTACCCTTCACTAGGGCCTACACCAAGTGAAATGTTACACTACACAAAGTAATGTAACTATCTTCAATATCTTGAGGTGTACCCTTTTGGCAAGCTTCGAAATCACTTGAGGCTTGACACCAAGGCTCGGGCTCTTCATCACAAACTCATCCTTGAGTTCTTGATGGGTCTGCTGCACACACCTGCGACACGCCGAACGTTCGACACAGGACAAAATAGAAACCGCGCACGACAAAATAGAAACCACGCGCGAGACACAAACGGCCGCGTAACACGCGTCTAGCGATAACTCGCTATTGACTCGACACACACACTCGACATCATGACTCAACATTCACACACAATTATAAGCATGAAATATATATTATCCCATGCCCTCATACCATTCCATACACACACACATTCACGCACACGGACAACAAGCCGAGTGCAAACCGTAGGGTTGCACCAACACACACACTGCGTGAGACACGACACACGAAGTCCATGCAGCATGGTTAACTGTCAGCGAACACGAACAGATTCGTGTGGCCAGGCCACGTGGCGCAGGGCACGCACCGAAGACGAAGAGGAAGTTCTTCCAGGCGACCGCGTTTAGGGTTTAGGGTCACGTGGTGCAGAGCACAGCACCCAGGGCACGCACCGAAGACGAAGAGGAAGTTCTTCCAGGCGACGGCATGGTGCCCGCTGCGAGGCGGCGGGCTGTTGGGGCTGCTGACCAGGCGCCACGTGGCCTTGTCCGCGTTGAAACGGTACAGTTCGCCGTACACGTACGTCTGGTGGGGGGGTGGGCGAAGGGGGGGAAATGTTGGGAAGTTGGGCCGATGAGGCAAGGTTGAGAACACCAGCAATAGGCAAGGGCAGGAGAAGCTTCGGAGGAACGCAGCAAAGGAAGGCGACCAATGAGTGAACCCAATGATTCACATAGCTTCAATAATGGTGGGCGCCAGTAGCCCATCCCCCAGGTGTGACCCCAAGGCACACCTTATCCCCGTTGTAGAACTCCCCACCGAAGATGATGAGCTCCGTGTCCTTGAGCGGATTCACCACCATCTGCCACGCGGGCGAGTGGTTGGGCGGGCGAGAGAGATGAGAGGGGCCACAGAATGAATGAGGCACGGGGAAGCAGCCGGGGGCGAGGGGGTCGAGGGATAGGAAGCGGGAGAGGAGGGGAGCGAAGGAGAGGCAATGGATCGAGTGCTCATGGATGGGGCATCTTACAAAGTACCACCGCGCTGCTGTTAGGGGAAGGGGAAGGGAGGGTTGGGGCGCGACTCACGGTGGCGTTGCAGCGAGGGGAGGGCGGCGGCACGCCCTCCTCCACATGCACCTCCTTCTTCTTCGCCTCCTCCGCTGCTATCTTCGCCTGTACGCCATGCATGCCCCACATGCCCCCCATGCCCCTACATGCCCCGCATGCCCCACATGCCCCACATGCCCCACATGCCCCACATGCCCCACATGCCACGCATGACATGCATATCCCACATGCCACACATGCCATGCGTAACCACATGCCAGAGAGACAGCAGGGAGAGCGGAGGCCTCCCTGTGGTGCGTGTGGAGAGAAATTTCAGATCACACATGTGCGCCGCTCCCACCCCTGGCGTTGAGACGAGCTGTGTCCATCTCCCACCGAGATCCATCCGCAGTCGGCTGCCTCACCGCCCCTCTCCACGCCCCTCCCTGCCACTCCCATGCTGGCATGCCACTCGCCCACATTCGCCAGTCGCCAGTCGCAAGTCGGCACGGGGTGCTGCGTCTCCCTCGACGCGCCTCAACGCGCCAGTCGCCCCATGCACTTCCTCATTGCCTCCCTTACCCCTCATCGCCTCCTTTTTCACCCCCTTCCCCCCATGCCCCTGCTCCCCAGCACCCCCCTCCCAGCGCGCACCAGGATGGCGTCGACGTCGTCCTCCTCGTCCACCTTCTTCTCCTCGCGCCGCTGCTTCTTCGCCTCCGCCTTCGCCGTCTTGCGCTCCGTCTTCTCCTTCCCCTTCCCCGGCTTCCCCTTCCCCTTCTTCCCCATCCCCGTGCACCACCACCGCGCGCGCGCGCCTTTCTGAACGACCTGCGCACGCGCGTCCGGCGGTAGCCGCAGAGCGTCTAGCAACGCACTACTGATGGCACTGACTAGGTAGGTGTTAGAAGAGCAAGCGGCACGAAGAGGGCGACTTGGGAGCTCTCTCTCTCTGGGGCACGCTGCTAGTGGCGGCGGCCGACGCGCAAGGGGGACACAATGTGGGAAGCGGCGAAGCGAGACGGCGTGTGCTCCAGCAGATCGGCAGCGCGGAAATCGCGCAACAGGAAGCGGGAATGGTGTTCCTCGCAAGCACTAAAACCTCTCGCAGTCTTTCGCTTTGGATGACTCGATACTGGTAACTAGGAAATTCGGCCCCATCCTCGTTTTTGTGATGCTCAAGAAAGAGTCACCAATTCGGTTTCACATACAGAGGCTTTTATGCGGGGTAAAACAAGATCCAGCATGCAAGCAACATATGCTTTTTCTTGCCAAGCTGCACACTTCGACGCAGTACATATTATTGGCTGGTACAACAAATGTTTCTCTCAGTGTTATGGTGTTCCGCGTTCTTAGCGCTATCCCCAACAACACCGGTCTCCCAATCAGTTGTTTCAATCCTGTTGCAACCTTCCAACTACTGGTATCAGTATCGCTTGCCCCTTTACTATAGCTTACATCATATATACAATCCAAGTATGGTCCTGTCCTCATTAGTGGACAGATTTTATTGCCTCCCACGTTAAATACGAGGAACTTTTATTCCTCAGATGCCATCCACTAAATCCATCAGTGAAGACTGTCGGTCACTTGCGCTTGCCAGCAGGAGGTGGTGGTGCCTTGGGGGGAGGAGGGGGGGCCTTGGGGGAGGCAGGTGGAGGGCTAGCCTTGGGGGGGCCTCCAGCAACGCGGGCGAGGACACCAACGAAGGGGGCGTTGATGGAGGTGGAGGGCTCCACCTGCTGGTAGTTGTCCCTCTCGTCCCGGAACGCATCGCTGCTGTCCGGCCCGCCTATCACCGCCCCCGTCAGCACATTCACGTTCGGGGCCTGTGGGGTGTTAAGAGGAGCGCAGTGGGGAGTGAGGGTTAGAAGCATAGCAGTGGAGAGTGCAGCGATGCAGCAGCAGGGAGCAGGGGACTGATGTGGCGCTGGGGCTGGCAGCTGGTCAGTTGGGTACTGGGAGGTGTGGTGGGCGGTTGAGCCTGCTGTGGAACCAAGGGCACTGGCAATGGGTGCGGTGCTGCCTGGGCACTGGGAGTGGTGTGGTGTGATGGGGAGATGAGGGATGGGGTGCACCTTGGACTGGAAGGCGGGCCAGCCGTCGTTGCAGCCCATGCGCGTGTTGTTCACCCAGATGGACGGCAGGGATGCACCGCGGTGGTGCACGCGCTGCGGGTACGAGGAGGAGAAGCCCACCATGTAGCTCAGCTTCTTGGGGTTCACGCCCAATATGTAGTCCACCTGGCCTTGGGTGTGCACGGAGGAGGGGGGAAAGGGGGAGTGGAGGGAGAGAGAACATGAAGAGGGGTGAAGAATAGGGGTTGGGGGTGCAGTCACATGCACGGAGTGGGCTTAGGGAACAGTAGCACAGGAGGAGCAGTTGGAGTCTCCATTGGAGACGAACAGGTTGAGAGCAGCAAGGGACGATGCTGTCAAGTGTAGATACTCCAGCCACACGTATGGCAATGCAGCATGGGGGACGGCGCGCACCTGGCGTTTGACGAAGCGGCGCATGGCGGTGGGGGTGATGGGCGTGGAGTCGCACATGATGGCCGTGGCGTTGCCGGCGCTGGCGGGGGCGGCGTCAAGGATGTCAGCAAAGGTGGAGAGCACCATGCTGATGGCCGTGACGTACTGCAGGTTGCTCCATGACATGAGGAACAGCATGCCTCCTGCATTCGGTGAGTGGCACAGGGCACACCGTGCAGAGGGAAGAAACATCACATGAGTTGCAGCACAAGAGATTTGATTGCAAGCTGGAACTTAGATATCTGATCTCCATGGAGGTTGCGATTTGATCATAGCCGGTTCCCTGAGGGCGTGGGTGGCGGCACGGCACGCACCTGGTGATCTGATGCCACGGCACGCACCTGGTGATCTGATGCCACGGCACGCACCTGGTGATCTGATGCCACGGCACGCACCTGGTGATCTGATGCCACGGCACGCACCTGGTGATCTGATGCCACGGCACGCACCTGGTGATCTGATGCCACGGCACGCACCTGGTGATCTGATGCCACGGCACGCACCTGGTGATCTGATGCCACGGCACGCACCTGGTGATCTGATGCCACGGCACGCACCTGGTGATCTGATGCCACGGCACGCACCTGGTGATCTGATGCCACGGCACGCACCTGGTGATCTGATGCCACGGCACGCACCTGGTGATCTGATGCCACGGCACGCACCTGGTGATCTGATGCCACGGCACGCACCTGGTGATCTGATGCCACGGCACGCACCTGGTGATCTGATGCCACGGCACGCACCTGGTGATCTGATGCCACGGCACGCACCTGGTGATCTGATGCCACGGCACGCACCTGGTGATCTGATGCCACGGCACGCACCTGGCGATCGCATGCCGCGCACCACGGTGCCGCACACAAAGTCCTTGGCGCGCTTCAGATACAGCTCCAGTGCCGGGTCCTGCCGCCGTAGGTACTCCTGAGAGGGGGGAGAGGGAGGAAGGGGAGGAATGGGAGGAATTGGTTGAAGGGAGTAAGGGGGAAGAGAAAAGTGGGCAGTGTTGTTCCAGCATGAAATTGGATGGGATGGGAGCATTGTGTGGGATGGGGTGGCAGTGGAAGATTGGCCAGGCAGCAGCGGCCCCAGAAGCACCGTTCTCACGGCCCCCTGCCCTGACCTTAGCGAGCAGCACTTGAGCGCCGGCATACTTGTTGTCCCACGAGAAGTTCTGCACTGACGATTGCGTGCCGCCCAGCTGCTTCTCGTTTGTCACGATGTAGTCCAGATACCGCCTCTCCCCCGTGGCGCGGTACAGCCACACCGCCGCCCACAGCAACTCGTCCTGGGTGGCGCAAAACATGTAAGACGACATATCAGCATACACAGAAAAAGACACGTCAGCATGCACAGAGCAAGACACATCAGCAGCATGTCTCAGAGCGTGCATGTGTGCTGGCACAGGCAGAACAAGAGTGATGGTGGGACACAGCAGGGTGCAGGAGGGCGGAGGGCGACGCACATTAAAGCCGGAGTAGGAGTTGTAGAAGGCGGAGGCGGAGGGGATGCTGTCCGTGTACTTCTTCGGGTACTTGCGCGCGAAGTTGAACAGCTGAGGGTTGCCACGGGTTGGAGGGTTGGCAGGAGGGGGGGAGGGGAGGGTGGGGGAAGCAGGGGAGTCGGGACTCGGGAGGATAGTGAGAGGAGATTGCATTGCATTGTGAGGAAGCAGACCAGTGGTTGATGCAAGTGACGACGTTCGTGGAGCTGGCATAAAATGGGCGGCATGGGAGCAGAGCAGCGCACCTGGCGGGCATGGGTGAGCAGCGCACCTGGCACGCGTGGGTGAGCAGCGCACCTGGCGCGCATGGGTGAGCAGCGCACCTGGCGCGCATGGGTGAGCAGCGCACCTGGCGCGCATGGGTGAGCAGCGCACCTGGCGCGCATGGGTGAGCAGCGCACCTGGCGCGCATGGGTGAGCAGCGCACCTGGCGCGCATGGGTGAGCAGCGACTTGGAGTAGTTGGCGTCTGTCTTGCCAAACACCATGCTCGACGCCGCCAGTGCTGCCGCCGCCTCGGCAGCGGGCTCGGTGCCGGGGTGCTGAGGGTCGAGGCGGTATGCGGTGCGCGGCGTGGTCATGTCCTCGGGGCGCTGCCAGCAGCTGTGGTCCGACTGCCCGTCGCCCACCTGCGCTTGCCGTTCACGCATGTGGTGATGTACGCACACATGCAGTCAGCGTGGTGAGGCGAGGAACAGAAAGGGCATTAGAGGGCAGCTCCGAGCTCAAAATGTTGCTGACCCAAACCTGTCCCGACAGCCAACTTGACCCTAGCCTGGCCCAAAGTTAACCCTAAACTGACTCCAAAGACATTTTCGGGTCAGAAGTTACTTCGGGGATATTTTGGGGTCAGCTAGTTTTTTTACCTAAAAGTAACCTGACCCATACCTGACTCAAACCTGGCCCGTACCTGCCCAACCCTTGGGGATTCGAGGTGCGGTTTCGATACCTGTTGCTGAGTCAGAATGTGAGACTTAGTGAAAACCCAGCAGTGAATGAAATGGTGAATGTAACAACGGTTACACGGCCAGCCCATCTGCCCATTGTCGGGGCACCTGCACCCTCATCCGCGCACATGATCTCTCATCCGCGCACATGATCTCTCATCCGCGCACATGCTCTCTCACCCGCGCACATGCTCTCTCATCCGCGCACATGCTCTCTCATCCGTGCACATGCTCTCTCACCCGCGCACCTGCGCGTAGAGCACGTTGGGTTTGGGGTGCGCGTGCACGAAGAAGTGCGCGCCCCACCGCACGGCGTCGCGCGCCGCCTTGATCTGCCCGAGCGCCGTGAGCTGCGCGCCGTATTCGACGACGCTCCAGGCGAGCGCGGTGACGGTGAAGGCGAGCGGGAAGCCGAACTTGACGTTGTCGCCCGAGTCGTAGTACCCGCGCGTCAGGTCCACCTGCCGCCGCCGTCACGGTGGGGAGGGGGAGGGGAGAGAGGAGGGGGGAGGGGGAAGGAAAGTCCACGTGAGGGCGCGGGTTGGGGTAGCGCGCGAGCTGCGCGAGTCCGTTGCGCTGACGGCGCGTTTCGTTGACTCTGCCGCCGCTCTGTGCTCGACTGCTCTGCTCTGCGTTAGCCTGGGGTTGAGGCGAGCTGCTAGAGTGTCGGCTAGCGTACCATTTCCGCCCTTCTCTTCCGCATTACTCGGTGGTTTCCTCTCCCCCTTCCACCTGCACCTCCGCCTGTACCTCCCTCTAGCCCCTATGCCTCCCCCTTACCCCTTCCGCCTTGCCATCCGTGAGTCCCGAGTCGCCACGCCACGTGGGTAGCTGCGAGCGCGGCAGTCTACCGGACCGCTGCAGCTGGAAGAAGAAAATGCATTTTTCTAGCGCCTCGCTGTAGTTCAGCCGCGCCGCCGCCGCCGCCTCCTCTACCGGCGCCGCCACAGCCGCTGGGTCTGGCGGTTTGGCGGCCCACGAGCGTTGGGGAAAGCTGCTGAAGGGCAGCGCGACGGCGAGCAGGAGGACGGCGAGGAACGCGTCTAATCGCGTGGCTTCCATCGACGCGCAATGCGAACAGGTTACTACAAACGGGAGTTTCTTATCTGCACAACTACGACTGCCTAGCGGAAAGCAATGTAGATATATCTTATGGCTTTTGTTGAGAATCGAACATCCCTCACGTGGCCTGCTCGACAAATGAAAGTGATCCTAGGCCAGCAGCAGTGTCCTTCAATGCACGCTGGCATCCTATTATACAGTACAGTACTCTGCTCTCACATTCACGGCCTCGCTCACTGAACTTGTACCGTAATTCAGATCTCCCAAACTCGAGTGGAACCGCTCGGGTGCTGTGCACGGCGGGTGCTCGTGGCACGTGACTTGCTCACACTCTGCTGCTGAGACAGAAACGCCAGGCGGAGGGGAAGCGGAGCGGAGTGGGGAAGGCAGGTGGCAGGTGGACCTTCCCGGAGTGCGATTCGTTCCCCGCTGTGGCGCCCATTTGCGTTTCCACCTGCGCCCAGCTCCTCCACCGAATCGCTGGGCGTCACAGGTGGTTGGGCGGGTGCGCGCCGCCGTAACTCTCCTTGCGTTTAGCGAAATATCTCCAGTTGACGAACTTCCGGCGGCGGAATACTCATCGTTTCGCCAACATTCAAATCTCAAATAACCTGGAAGAAACATAACTGACCAAATATTCCCCCTATTCACACTCGTTACATAAAGAACAACTACAAATATTCTATATTACATCCAGTGCTGCTTTCAAATGGAAATTCGCAAGTGCAATTCCATAGAAATATTCTATGTGTTGCAAAGTTCCTCTAGGATTAATATCGCTATTATCATTTACGGTAGTTCCTTGGCTACTTATCTATAACATACCGTATTGGTCGTTCTCAATGCTTGTTGCTAAGGAATAGGACCTTGTGCACACAAGGCGCAATATAAAATGCTAAACATATAGGTAATGTTCCAGAACCCTTGTTACATCCCGTCCAGCAACCGCAGGGCCTGTTTGAGGTAGTCTAAAGCAGCGGGGACATCATCAAATGCCAGTGCACTCACAGCAAAGCGCGCAGCGCGGTGGGCGTCCCCCACCTTACCCGCTGGTGGGGCCTGCCCCCCCATTCCCATGCCTGTGCCCGAGCCTGCACTTGTGCCTGTGGCTGTGCTTGCAGCAGCTCCTGTGGTGGCTTTGACAGCGGGCTGCGTTGCAGTAGGCAGGGGGGCTGAGAAGGAGGACGGGGCAGCAGCTGCTGCTCCTGGTGCGCCTGCGCCTGCAGGGCCGAGGGACGATGTTGTTGCTGCTGCAACGAGTGTGGTATGCGGTTCATAGCGGTGGATGGGGTCAGGGGAGGTGGGAGGGAGTAAAGAGACCCGAAGGGCGAAATTGTCAGCGCATGCAGAGTGAGAGAGAGGGGGGAAGGAGGGGAAAGGCAGGAAGGGTTAGGAGCAAAGAAGAAAAGGTGCAGTAGACTGGACGGTTTGGCGGGCATCTGGGTGTATGAACCCAACTATGGGGAGAGGGGAAACTCTTGTGAGAGATGTGAGAGCGTGCAGCACAGAAGGGCAGTGAGGCGGCCCAAGAGGGGCAGAGAGCTCACCAGCGCCACCCCCATGGGGTCGCCCCACCCCTAGCCCCTGCTGCGCGCCTCCCTGTGCCCATCCCCCACCAGCACCCCCTCCCCCTGCTGCTGCCCCACTCCCCCCTGGCGCTGCTCCACTGCGGTCGGCGCGGAGAGGCTGCACTGAGGGCGGCACCGGCAGACCCAGGATGTCGTGCTGCTGCTGCTGGGGGAGGGGGAGGGGGGAGAAGGGGGGAGAGGGGATAGGTGGGTGGGAGAAGGGGATGCGCAGGGGTTGTGGGGGGGGGGGTGGTACCAAGGAGGGCAGGGTGTGATAAGGGTGGTATCGATGAGGGTGATATGTGAAGAGGGGGCGCAATGCGAGTGAACGGAAGGTGCAGTACCATATGCAAGCAGCGCACTGAAGAGACAGGAAGAAAGAAGACGCATCACATGGGAAAGACTCTTCCAACCTGTCCTTTCCCCCATCTCCTCACCTCTCCCCCGATGCTGCTGTCCTTGCCGCACTCACCTGGCTTCCCTGTGTCGCATGACCAGCCCCACCAGCACTGTCCGGGGCTGTGGAGGGAGCAGCAGCAGCGGCAGGTGCGGAGAGCAGGGCAGCAGCACCGGCAGCATCGGCAGCAGGCGGGCCAGGCGTGGGTTGGCGGCCCTCTGCCAGTGCCTTGCGGATGTCAGCTGCCTTCCACGCCGCGTACCGCTGCTTCTGCTCCACCTGCCCGCGGAGGGAGGTGCGTGTGGGGGCGGTAGGGAAAAATGGGGGAGTGATGGAGGGGGGAAGGAGGAAGGAAGGAGGGGGGGATGGGGTGGGTACGAGGGGTTAGGATGGAACGGGGAAGGAGTGAGGAAGACGCCCTTTAGAAAGAGAAATGTGGAGAGAGGAAGGGGAGGAAGGAGGGTCTGAAGAAGAGAACGAAGCCCCAATGAGCAGGTACATGTGTGAGAAGCACTAGCACAGCAATGAACAGGCGGGGCCAGTGAGCAGCATCACAGCAGCGAGCAGTGCGTTAGCAACAAAGAGCGGCAGTGCCGGGCATCCTCACGTCAGGAGGCAGCTCGCCGAACTGGCGCATGACGTCGAAGAACAGCCCCGCCGCATAGAACGTCTTGGCCGTGGAGCTGCCGGGTGACAGGGCAACAGGGGGTGGGGGGGAGGGGTGAGAGCGGAAGGATGGGGCGGGAGAAGAGAGGTTAGGGTATGCAGGAAGCATGGTAGAGGGATGCAATGGGAGGTGCACGTCGAAGAATAGCCCCGCCGCGTAGAACGTCTTGGCTGTCGAGCTGCCGGGTGGAGGGGCACCAATGGGCGGGCGGGGTAAGGGGAGAGCAGGGGTGGAAGAGGGGGCGAAAGGAGAAAATGGGAGGCTGGTACGTGGTAGGGGAGATGCAGAGAAAAGCGCACACACGAGTGAGTGATACAGAAGCTTGAAGCGAGTGAGGGTGGGGTGGCGTACATGTCGGCCTGGCCGGCGCGGTCCTGCTTGTCCGCCTTGGCAAAGACGCGCTCTGCAAAGCCCTCCACGTGCAGACTGTCCTCGGGGCTCAGCTGCACCTCCGCCTTGTCCTGCCAGGGGGGAGAGGGGGAAGGGGAGGGGGAGTTTGAGGAGGGGAAATGGGTGGGGAGGAGATGCAAGGGAGAAAATGGGAAGGTGTGAGGGTGAATTTGCAGCAGTGGAGGCTCCGGACTAGGGTATGGTGCGAGGGTGGGGATAGTGGGAAGTGGAGCACTTGTTATATTCCGTGCATGGGAAAACCACAGAACCAAGCAGCCAGGCACAGCCATGACGAATGTGTGCTATGTCCTCTTTGCATGGCAGCGATCGTCATGCGGCATGACACGCACCTTCTCCAGACGGGCGAGCAGCGAGAGCAGCAGGTCGTTGGTCTCCTTGCCCCTCTCCTTGCTCGACACCTTGAGGCCCTTGTCCGTCGCGTACAGCCGACCTGCTCCCCCACCCATGCCCCCGATAGACATGCTCACATACCCATAGCCATGCCCGATCCCCATGCTCCCCATAGACACGCACCACATACCCATGCATCCCATGACCATGCACCCCATAGCCATGCACCCCATAGCCATGCACCCCATAGCCATGCACCCCAAGCCATGAACCCCATAGCCATGCACCCCAAGCCATGCACCCCAAGCCATGCACACCCAATTGTGGAACCAATCAGCATGCGTCTCATCAAATGTCCCTTGACTCGACCTAAATCCTCCCACCAACCCTGTCCGCCACTCACGTACGAACAACAAACCTGTGCTTAAAACAAGTATCGACTCTACCCTTTCCATTTTCTTCTTCTGACTCTTGACATTGGAAACCCGCAAAATGAATTCATTCATTCTCGCCCTAGAAACCGCACGCTGCAACCCCGTTGCGAGTCTAACGACGCCGTTGCACCCCATGCCTCTACCACGGGAGGCGATAGAATCACGCCTGGAATCTGTTGAAAATAAGTTCTCACAGTAGTACGCGACGAGCGGGTCGTGCTTCTGCAGCTCATCGGCGCGCTGCAGAAACGGCATCAGCGACCTGCCTACGTCCTCCGGTGCTGACGCCATCTCTAGTCTCCTCTTCGCTCTCGCCGGTGCCTGGTGGCGAGGATAACTTGCGAGGCTACGGCAGTAAAATGGTGGATCGAATGTGCGTTGCCGACAGGCTCAGTGAGGTGGAATGGATGTTGCGAGGAACATCGAATTTGCCGTGACGCGAACGACAATGCTGAGGGTGTGTCCTCCTAAGAGCAACGGTGAATTTGTCTCTGGACAACGTCAAACTAATTCGTTCGCTGCTTTCCGACGATTCGCTTATGCGAAAGCCATAATTGTCTGCGAAGGAAAATGCGAAAGCCATAATGCAGTGTAGCAAGCGTGCCTAGCACCAGTCGCAAAAATGCGATGGCACAAACACTGTAGTTAACGTTAAGTTATAAAAATCGAGTTCTTAGGACACGTCCTGAGTCCCATCTCAACAACACATGCATTCTGAACTGAACGTTCAGACCTAACGTGTGATATTGGAAAGCTTTGCGCCATACATAAAAGGTTGATAGCAATCAGCTCCCACATTGTGCCATCATCTTTTGTATACTTGCAGCTTGTGCTGCAGTTGGTGGGGTGGAACCCCAACCTGCATACGACCCCATGCCTTGCGGTAAAGGCGCCACCACCCCTGTGGCCTGGCTGTTGACCACATTCAGCAGCACGGGGCGGAGAGAGCTTCCCTTGGAGGAGACAAGGTTGACGTTGTTGAGCTTGATGCCGCCACAGGGGACCGTCGCACTGCATCGGATGTTCATTCCATACCTGCACCCGGACACATACAACACACAGTTATAACATACTCACACCGTTTTTACACGAGTACATGGCAAGTTTGGAACATGACATCAAGCGGTGGACCTTCAAGTCGGCATTTCCATTGTGGGGCAAGGTGTACGGCAGCTCTCACCGTGAGGTGGTGCCATAGACATTGGAGTAAGTGATGTTGACCAGTGCCACGTTGTCAGGCGCTATGCCACAGAAGAAGTCCTGGTGCGAGTCGCAGTAAAACTGTGGCAGGGAGACAGCACAACAAAGCAGAATCATATAGATGGTACTAAAACTCTGCAAAGGTGCTGCTGCAGCTGTTGCTGCAGTTGCTGCTGCACACAGCAAGCATGGTCTCACCTGGTTGAGTGTGATGGCGTTGTCAGTGTTGGTCATGTACACATTCTCGTATCGCACATTGCGCACCATCCCCAGGCCACCCTGCCATGTCTTGATGCGCAGCCCGTTATCGAGGTTAGATATAATGAGGTCCTTAAAGGTCACATCAGACACACACGCCACTGCCCCTCCAGCGCCCAGGCTTCCAATGCTGCAAGGGGAGAGCACAGTTCGGGCAGAGGAAGGGAGAAGGAATGGGAGTGAGAGTGGACGGGGGAGTGCCTGGCCATGCCAATGACAATCCTAACAGTCACATGGACCAGGCTTTCCACACCCCTGGTGCCATGTGAGCCCACTCGGAAAGCTCACCTGATGCCGTGCCCGGCCGTGGCAATGAGGTTCCTGACCGTCACGTTCACCACGCTCTGAGCGCCCCTGGCAACGAGTGACACGTCGTCATCCCCGCCATGGAAGGTGCAGTTCTCGATGAGCGCGTGGCGCACACCGATCAGCTTGAGCGAGTCCGTGTTGGGGGACGTCTCGGGGCTGTTGGTCGTCACCCCGCGGATCCACAGCCCCTCCGTGCCATACCCAAACACGTGGTACATCGGCGGGTTGCTGAACAAGGGGAGGAGGGACGTGGGAAGGGGGGATGACGGTGAGGGGAGGTGAGGGGTTGTGGGTGAGGGGGGATTGGGGGAAGGGCAAGGGAGAGTAGGGCGCACAGGCGGCAGCAGGAGGGGGTGGGATGCCACAGCAAATCGCACACATACATTCACACATACCGCAGCAGCAGCCCATCAATGGTGGTGTTGCGGCAGTCGATGAGCGCAATGATGTGTGGCCGCGTGGGCGCCTTGGACCCCCAGAACTTCCTCCCATTGCCGTCTATCGCCCCCTCCCCGCGCAGCACCAGTCCCTTCATGCCCTGGAACTGAAACAGCCCGTTGCTGGCGACACCAATGATAGTGCCGTTCAGGTAGAGTGAGGGCGTGGGGTAGCCGTCCTTGGAGAGCGGCCCGTAGATGGTGCCGTCCACCTGGGAACGGGGGAAGTTTGGGGCAAGTGGGAGGGGAGGAAAAAGGGGGCGACAGGATGGTGGGTGAGGGGCAATGCATGAGGGTGGAGGTCACGGGGTGGGGGGCAGCCTGGAGAGTGAGTGGGTCGTCAAGGGCGCTTGGCGCGATGAGAGTGGAGAGCGGAGGCGCCAGAGAGCGAGGGAGCGGGGGAATAGGGGCGGGGGAGCGTGGGAGCGGGAAAGGGAGGGCGCGGGGGATCGGGGGAGCGAGAGAGCGGGGGATCGGCGGAGCGTGAGAGCAGGAGATCGGGGGAGCAGGACAGCGGTACCTGCAGCGTGAGGCCAGCGCCGCACGACCCGTTGACGGTGATGGACTTCGCCAGGAAGAACGCGCCCTCCCCCACGCGCACTATCGCGCGCCCGCCGCTCCCCTTCGCGCTCTCACACGCAGCGCGGAACGCGCCGTCGAACGCGGCCCACGAGTCGGTAGCGTTGTCACCCACCGCCCCGAACCCCTCCTGCACATCGAAGAGCGGCGTTTCCGGCGGGTCCGTCGCGAGCGGCGCGACCCCCGCGTACGTGGATGGCCACTCCGGCGGTGGCGGTAGGGGGGTGGGAGGGGGGGGCGGGGGAGGCTTGGGGGACTTCCCTGGCTTCGGGGGAGACGGGGGCTTGGGGGACTTGGGCGGCTTTGGAGATTTCGGCGGTTTCGGTGATTTGGGCGACTTGGGCGGTTTGGGCGGCTGGTCGCGCTCTAGCGTGAGCGTGGAAAATGTGGGCGCACGCGTGTCGGTCTCTGGCGGGGACTGCGCGCGGGAGGCGGTGTGGAGAAAGGAGCGCGGGCGGGCGAAGGGAAACATCCAGGGGGCGAGCGAGAGCGATGACGTCAGCTTGGACTGCGCATGCGGGAACAGCGGTTGCGCGTCGGCGTCGGCGTCAGCGGGAACGACGTGGCGGGATGTGGAGCCGAATGAGTGCGGCAGCCATGCGCCGCGAGATATGCGGGGAAGATACGTCCATTGCGCTGAGGGATTGGGGAAAGGCGGAAGGGGGCGCGGGAATGGGAGGAGTGGAGGCCAAACGAGGTTGAAACCAGAAGCGAGAGAAGCGGAGAGACACCCCATGCGGGGCGGATGGGCAAGTGGGCTACGCGGGAAGCGTTAGAGCGGGCGGCGGCTGGAGTGCGGCGTACCGTTGGCGGTGGGAGGAGCGGGCACCGCGCAGATCAGCAGAAGCAGTGCGACCGTGAGCCGTGGCGAGGAGCCCGACATTTCGGCGCGATGCGGGTGCTGGGTGAGAGGGAGGTGGCAGGGAAGTATGGGAGTGAGGGAGTGGGGTGACAGGGAGAGCCGGTGCAGGTATGAGGAAGGAGATGGGCGGGAACGGGAGCACAGGGCTGTGTGTGACAGTAGCGGGACGTCGGAATGAGTTGACGTGCTCGGCGGCCATGGCTGGGAGAGAGCACTCACCATGTAACGTTGATGCCGCCGACAGTGCATTACGGTCCTCGCGAGAGCTGCTTCTACAAAGGCTATCATCGAGACTATTCGCACGGGTAATGGATATACTTCGGGCTATTGAGGTCTGCGTGAGAGCATGTATGCATAAAAAGCCGGGGTTGGACGGGGGAACGAGCTATGTTGAAAGCCGGAAATACAGCAAGAGTGGCGGCGCTACAAGCGACCCTGCTTCTGCATGTCCGAGTGTGAGCCCTCGCAAACTCGTGAATCTGGTCTACATGACAAATGTTCTCTCCAAATGGCCATTTATAGTTGGCAAAGTCCTCCTACAGATTTTGTAAAGTCGAGCTGCGACCTAGCTTCCGCAGGGGGAGGCGTGTTGTGAGTGATGTTTGCTGCTCTTGCCGCAGTCACCGGCGATTCCGTGAGTGACATTGGCGATGGTGATGGCGACCAGACAACAGGGTGGGTTGCTCTGGGAGGCTGATGGGCTGGCTGGAGGTGGTAACTGTTCCTGGCTGGAACAACGAAGGTGCAAACAGGCGGTGGCATTGTTGAATTTTTTTACCTTTTTAGTGCGCGCCGTCAAGCGCGCCTAGAGATTCAAGATAACTTCCGCATGGAAGCTGGCGACGTTTACCACCAGTGCGAAGGAAGTAACCAGCAATCGACGAGTCGACAAGCCCTTGGCTCGCACACCTACCCAGCCAGGCGATTTGCTTGAGCAAACGCGCTTCCGCTGGTATTGCGGGCGCTCCCATAAGCGAAAACGTTGGGCACGTTTCCTATTGGTGTGGTGTGGCTTGGATTCGGTGTGACTTGGCTCGGTCCACTTTGTTTGGAGGCGTGATTGAAAACGGCTCGAATTCAAAAGTTCCGCCGTCGCACCGAACGGAACCCAACAATGTTTTTCAACTGCCCCAGAATGTCATGCCCATCCCCGCGCTTAGGCAGATAGCGATAAATTCCTCACACCAAAGAAACGATGTGTGAACCCAAGCCCTTGTCGTGGCTGAAATACTTTCTGGCAAACAATGTCTGAACCCAAGCCTGAATGGCTGCTTCGGAATTGTTGGCTCGCGTTCAATATCTGACAGCCCAAAGCAAGCACGCGCCTCCTAGCCAATTTGCAAGTGCCCAGGGCACACTACAGTGCAGCAGACATGACAGCTCCGCAAGTCTTGTTGAGAATTCCCGTTATAAATTGGCTGGTGTGATCGTACCGTACATCTATCTTTCACAGAATGTAGTTTCCAACTCAAGCATTAGGAAGAATGTCCTCACCACCAGATTGTAGTTTGCAACCCTAAGTAGAATGTTCTCAGGAAGTTCGTGAGATTATAACAAATAGCCCACCAGCTAGTTTCGAACCGAGTTACCGTGCAGCACCGCAACGCAACACGGAAACAGTGAAGCCCTCACACCAGCACAGTCAGTCCGTGCACTCAACACAAGGGTCGTTGCCTGTGCATGATCATCATACTCGGTGTGCGCCAGTGAGCCCCTCAGCGCCATCCGAAGCATCCCTCATCGCGAAAACGACTTCTGAAGCCATGAGCGGCGCGAGCACCAACTTTGGCGGGCTGTCGGAGGAGGCGGCGCGCGTGGCGGGGAAAAAGGGGAAGAAGAGCACGTTCAAGGAGAAGACGTGGGTGAACCCGTCTCGCACGCTCTACATCACCAACGTGCCGCCCGGCGCCTCCACGGAGCAGCTCGAAGGGGTGAGAAAGCGCCGCGGGATCAACGCCGGGACGTTGCGGGAATAAATTTATATTTCCCGCTCCTGTAGCGTTCAGCGTGTTTGTGTGAACTGCACGGGAACGCTTGTGGCCAGGAAATCTATTACCTACTGGCCGCGAGATCGCGCGGTTCTTCATATCAAATCGTCGAACCGTTTCTTGATTCTGCCTGACCGACGGACTGTGTGTGCGAGAGTGGTGCGCGCGAGCAATCAAGGGAGCGACGATTCGGTACACGTGTGTCCCTTTCCTTGTGCCGGCTGAGCTGTAGCTAGTGCTGTAGCTAGTGCTGTAGCTAGTGCTGTAGCTAGTGCTGTGCCCTGCGCCAGCCCACACTGCACGCTTGTATCACACACTACCGCATGCCAACCCGGCACCGTTCACGCACACTGGTGTAGGTGCTGTGAGATGATGTGCTAGTCAGTCACACTACTCCCCTCTCTTCCCTCTCTTACCCTCCTCCCGCTCTTCCGTCTCCTATCCCCCTTCCGCCCTCCACCCCCCGTACGTGTCCCCCCCTCTCCCTGTGCGTGCGGTCTCACGCACGTCGCACAGCTCTTTCGGCATATGGAGGGCTTTATTGCTTTTCGTCGGGTGAGATACCATGCTGCTGCTGCTGCTGATGCTCGCGTCAAACGAGTCCCTTGCTGTTGAGTCTTGCTTTTGTATCCTCTTGTGTTTCACACCCCAGTGAACCCGTAATGCATCTGACGCGCCCTTCTGTCCCAAGCAATTCATGCAGACGCTGCCATGTGTGAGCTGTAACATATGCTGTATGTCACATGCGCTCACTGTTTCCTACACTGTGCGTGGTGTGCAGGTGCGCAGCATGTGCTTTGTTGACTTTGACGAGAAGCAGCATGTGAGTGGGATGCTGGTCGGTAGCAGCAGTAACTGGGATGCTGGTAGCGTGTGAGTGAGAGGCTGATAGCACGTGAAGTGATTCCTTGGCACATCAGCCTGCTATATGCTCCCTTGGTGCCTCTGTTTGCTCATCGTGTGCCCTTCACTGCTGTCCGTCCCACTGCCACCAGTGCGTGCGTGCAACTCCTGCTGCACAGTGTGTGCCCAGTTAGTCGTGGTGCTGCTGGTTCCCATTCTACACCTCTGCATCTACTCGCCTCTCGCTGCACCTGCCCACCCCAACCACCGCCTCCCCATCCATCTCTTCTCGCGGCACTTCAACCGCCAGGCAACAGTTTCCATGTGGAAGGCCAGCGGGCAACTTCCCATTCTTCCCTCATCTCGCCTCTCACACATGCCTCCCATCCCTTCCCCACCGCCTCGCATGCTTGGCCCGGCAGGCGACAGCAGCCATGTGGAAGACCAACGGGCACAAGTTCAAGCCGCACCACGACGGGCTTCTCGTCAGCTACGACAAGGTATAACGACCCACCCTTCCCTTCATCCAATTAACGAGCGCATTCAGCTCCGTCTGCCCCTTCCACCCTCTGCCCCCTGCCCACCACTTTTGTCCCACTCAACTGCTATACCATACCCCCCCTTTCCCCGGCAGGACGACGGGGAGGAGAAGGGGGGGTGGAGCATGAGGCAGCGAGTGGAGGAGCGGCAGCGCAAGGCAGAGGCGGACCTCTCCCGCGTGCTCTACCGCTGCGCCGCCTGCAACCACTTCTGCTTCAAACTCGGTGAGTTCTCGCTGCTGTCACTGCCACTTGTGTCGCATGGTTCTCTTAGCATGGGAGGATGATGGGGTGGACGGCTGCTGGTTGAGTCTAGCTGTGAGTTGTCCCGGTTCATTTGGCACAGCTGGTCAAGCTCTTCTCCACTCATTTCCATCTCTCGCTTTCGTTCCACATTGCGACCGAAGCATTTGCATCGGTCATCTGTTTTTCCACTGTTACCTTCACTCCCTTTCCCTCGTCGCACTCCCTGTCTGCCCCCGCCCCTCCCTCCTCTCGTCTCCGCTTCCCCCACCTGTCCTTTTCTGCTCCGCAGTGGCCCTCCTGAGCTGCGCACGGACGTCAGCAGGGTGGGGAGTTGCCTATACGGGCTGATTCCCTTCTCGCACCTTAATGCCCCCCCCCCCCCCCCCCCCTCTCTCCCCCCACCGCCTGCAACCGCATGACTGTTGTGCAGCGCGCCCCCTGTCGGCCCTGCCCGAGCGGCGCACGGATGGCAGCAGGGTGGTGGAGGCGGACACACACTGAGTCTCCTTGCATTCTTCAATGCCCCTCCCCCCCCCTCCCCACCCTCTCTCCCTTGCCTGCAACGGCATCAATGCCGCGCAGCACGCCCGCTGTCAGCCCTGCCAGAGCGGCGCACGGACGGCAGCAGGGTGGTGGAGGCGGCAACAGATCTGGTCACCATGATGGCCGTTAAGGGCGGCCAGAAGCTGCTCAAGAGGTGGGTGGGGGGGGGGTGCACATGCACTCATTTGAGACGTCTCAAAAGGCAGCAGGGTGGTGGAGGCAGCAACGGACCTGGTCACCATGATGGCCGTCAAGGGCGGCCAGAAGCTGCTCAAGAGGTGGGCGCTGGGGCACGTGTGCGCATTGCAAAGACCCGTATCAATGCTTGCAGTCTTCTCCATTGGCCCAGCTCGGCTTCTTCTTCTTGGCTGCTCTCGCTCGCCTTGTTTGTTCTTGCATGCCATGCGCTGAGAGGGCTCGCCTCTTCATCTCTTCTGCTGCTCCCTCTTCTTGTGGACTGTGTGTGTGCGTGCGTGCGTGTGTGTGTGTGTGTGTGTGTGTGTGTGCGTGCGTGCGTGCGTGCGTGTGTGTGTGTGTGTGTGTGTGTGTGTGTGTGTGTGTGTGCACATGAGCATGCGCATGCATCATTTGAATATGTGTGCGCTCTGGGACTGAGTGACTGACTAACCATACATGCATACATGCATGCATGCATGTCTATGCCTTGCCCTGCATGTCAATGTGCATGCATGCATCATGCCATGTGGACTGTGTTGGGCAGCAACCGTGGCATTGGTGTGCGGACGTCACGTGGAGCACGGTTTATCAACGCCCGACCATGACATCGGGGATGCCTTGCCTTCTCAACATCACTCCGGCAACTCCGTTACTCATGTGCTGCCTGCGCATGCGCGTGTCATCAACGGCCCTGCCTGCTCGCGTCCCCGGCGCTGCGCTCCCTCCCTGCGCTGTGCCTGCCCACATGGGTGCCACCACCAACCTCTTGCCTGCCCACGTGCCACCACCAACGCCTTGGATGCACGGTGCTACACGTGGGGGCAGGGAGAAGGGGGTGGAGAGGCAGTTCCGGTACAACTGTGAGCTCTGTGACGCCTGCATCGCGTACCGCCCCGTGCCCTACGAGCAAGAGTCCAAGTACATCTACCTCTTCCCTGAGGTCAGTGCCGTCTTGAGGCGTATAACATGTAGGCATTTACCGGTCTATTCTATACGCCTCAGTGCTCTACGAGCAGGTCTCTAAGTACATCTACCTCTTCCCTGAGGTCAGTGCCGTCTTGAGGCGCATAACATCTAGGCCCCTACCAGTCTCTACTCTCCCCTGCCCTACGAGCAAGAGTCAAAGTGCATGTATACCCCTTTCCCAAGGTCAGTGCGCTTTCATGCGCCTAGAAAAGGGACATCCAGAGAATGGTACTGCCTGGTGGCATACATACATGCACGGCTCTAAGCATTATCCCCTCCCTGAGCTCACTGCCGCATCCTCCCACAACACATCAACCCATCTGACGCTCCTCAAAAGCACCGTAGCATATCGCATTGCATTGTCAGCCTTTCCCCTCCGGTTCTCCAACGCTAATCCGACCACACACGCTCCCCCTTCCCTCTCCCGCCCCCTCCCCCCACCCATCCCACCAGGCCTTGACAGAGTCAAAGCCAGGCCAGCCGAACCACTCGTCCCCGGCAGCAGCGGTGGCGGCAGCGGTGGCAGCGGGCGTGGCGGTGTGCCCCGCGGTGGTTCAGCTGCGCCGCGTCACCGTGCCCACCACACTAAATTTCAGCCTTTCTCCCTCCTGCCCCCCTCCGCTCATCCCACCAGGCCTTGACAGAGTCAAAGCCAGGCCAGCCAAGCCACTCCTCCCCGGCAGCAGCGGTGGCGGCAGCGGTGGCAGCGGGCGTGGCGGTGTCCCCCGCAGTGGCTCAGCTGCGGCCCGTGACTGTGGCTGCTGATGGACTGCCCTCCATCCTCGGCCTCCCCGGCATGCCCCTCCCTGCCGTTGCTGAGGACGCTGCTGCCGCTGCTGCTGTGCCTAGTAGCGCTGATGCTGCTGGTGGTGCTGCTGGTGGTGCTGCTGCTATTGGAGACGGGCAGGGGGGTGGAGAGGGGGAGGTGGTGAAGGGAGGGAAGGAGGGTGAAGAAGGGAAGGCAGGGGAGGAGAAGGCTGATGGGAGCGATGGCAAGGGTGGAAGCAGGCAAGAGGACAGCAGGCCACAGGTGCGTGTGGTACCCCCCACCCCCGCCCCCCCCGTGTTGCCTCTTCCTTCCTAATGTCCTAGTGAGGGTTAAATTCATGGTTGCAATCTCTGAGTTGCTCCTGCATCAACTTTATCGTCCCCTCCACATTCGATGCACCCCCTTCCATCCAGCAGGATGCAAGCTGCAAGGACTAGTTGCAACCAGGCCATGTTGCAGCAAGGCCATGTTGCAGCAAGGCCATGTTGCAGCAAGGCCATGTTGCAGCAAGGCCATGGGCTGCCAGCACCAGCCAGACAGCCACAGGGTTGTCGTTTAGAACCTGATGCACTCTCTGGCGAACAGTTGATCAGTTGTTCGCCTACCGTAGTTTGTCCGCGTAGTTAGTACTGCATTCAGTATGGTACCTATATACAAACATGTTCTTTCTCTTGGATCTGGTTAGGGAAGGCAAGAATTAGCACGTTTCTGTTCAACTGTTACCCTCAGTCTCACCCCAATCATGCACGACATGCTGTATGTTCTTTGTGTTATGGTTTACTAGTTCTTTCAGTAAGACAACCAGTTCTCACGGAAGGTAGAGCTTCAATGAGTTTTCTAATTGGATTATCGAGTCATTCGCTATCGCGTTCGCACCCACCATCACTCCCCCACCGATAGCAACCCGCCAGGCAGTCACACAGCCACCCCAACCAAGTCGCGATTCGCCATGCCTATGGCCCGGCGTCCGAATCCGAACACCCCAACCAGCCTTTCCCCGACCCGCCTCGTCTCGCGCGCGCCATGACTCCGCGCCCGCCATGACCTCCCCCATCCCCCGCCGCCACTCCGCCAACCCGTCGCCCGATCGCGTGAGCTCTCCCTTTCCGCCCCCGCTGCACCCCGTTTTCTCGCCGCATTCTTCGTGCGTCCCCTCCGCAACCCCCTCTCCTCTCCTCTCCGCTTCCCCCCGCTCATCCTCGCGATTGTAGTTCGTCACAGGTCGTCGCGTGGCGAGGGGCCGCGAAGGTTTCGCAGCGTCGCCGTTACTGTCGCCGCCGTCGCCTGTCCAATCGCAGTCGCCTCATCGCGCGGCGACACGGGACTCCGAGGTTCGCAGGCGGGGCGCGGCGGATCGGGGATTGGCGGAGCCGGCGGCGGTAGTGCGCGGGCGGGAGGGCTATCGGGGGAGCGCAGGGGGTATCGGCGTCGGGGGAGCGCTTCAGTTGCGCAGCCGCGCGGGCAGCAGGATGGGCACGGGGGGAAGTAGCGCGGGCACGGATCAGCCCAGCAGCAGGGGAAGCGGGGGAGGCGGCGGGAGGGGCGCGGCGCGGCGGGTGGCGGTAGTGGCGGTGGTGGCGGTGCTGGCGCTGACGCCGCTGCTGGCATTCACGAGCGTGATGCCGCCATGGCTGCACGCGCACGGTGGCGCGCAGACAGAGGGGGAGGTGAGGGGAAAAGGCGAGGTGACTGGCGAGGGCGAGGTGAGGCGTAAAAGTGTGTGTGCTGTATCAACGTACCTGTCACCTTTCGTCCCTCCCTCCCTCCACCCTCCCACGGCCCACATGACATGCCTTTCACCCCTTCCCCTTCGCTCTACCCTCCTCTATCCTCCATCCAACTCCTCGTATCTGTCTCCCTTCAACCCCCACCCCCCCACGCTGCTCTCGCCTTCCCCCCACTCCATGGCACCGGCAGCAGGCATCGCTGGTGACCCATGCTGCCCTGCCCCACACGGATCTTCACACGGAGGTGAGGTGAGGTGAGGTGAGGTGAGGTGAGGTGCGGTGAGGTGAGGTGAGGTGAGGTGTGGTGAGGTGAGGTGAGGTGCGGTGAGGTGAGGTGAGGTGTGGTGAGGTGAGGTGCGGTGAGGTGAGGTGAGGTGTGGTGCGGTGAGGTGAGGTGAGGTGAGGTGAGGTGCGGTGAGTTGAGGTGCGGTGAGGTGAGGTGAGGTGAGGTGAGGTGCGGTGAGGTGAGGTGAGGTGAGGTGAGGTGTGGTGAGGTGAGGTGAGGTGCGGTGAGGTGAGGTGAGGTGTGGTGCGGTGAGGTGCGGTGAGGTGAGGTGAGGTGAGGTGAGGTGATGCAAGGCGACTGGTGGAAGGGGCCGGAGCAGGGACGAGTGTGCGAGGGAGAGAAGAGCGTTTGCAAGCAGAGCAGAGCAAGGGGCGCACACCCGTTGCTTGTGTGCTCTGCTTGTGCCACCTGCAAGCAGAGCAAGGGACGCCATGCCACGTTCCTGCCACACACTCACCATCGACTTCTCTCACACCACCCCATCCACCTCTCCCCTCTCCATCCATCCTTTCTCACCCCCCCTGCATTCCCCATACAATACCTCCTCCAGACCCCCACACCAGGGCTGTCAACAGTAGCAGCAGCAGAAGCAGCAGCGCCTGCTGCAGATTTTGAGCTGCCCTGGCCGGAGGACTCCATGGCGCTGTGCCTTGTCGGGCAGCTGCGAACGTTTGAGCTGACCGGGCCATCCATAGCGGCGAATCTGGTGGGGGTTGAGGGGTACGGGCAGGCAGACGTGTTTGTGGTGACGCCCCTCGATGAGAACTCCGCCAAGCTCCTCGCCCTCAGGGGGATGGGGTGGGCGGAGGGGGCGCAGGGAGCCGGGGGAGCCAGGGAAGAAAACGTCACGCAGCAAGGGGAGGCGGGGAGAGGGGGAGGAGGAGGATTGGGAGGCCCAAGGCTGGTGTCAGTGCGGGTGTTTCCGGACTTCAACGTGAACGAGGCGCTGTACCCCACACACGCGCTCAAGGGGCTGGAGAACGGGCCACAGGGGCTGCTGCAGCAGTTTAGCATGGAAGCCATGTGCGCCAACGACATCGCTCACAGAGAACGCCGCTACAGCCGCCGCTACAGGTGGCTCATGAAGGCCCGCCCAGATTCTTTTTGGGCGGCGCCGCCCGCGCCGCTGGGTGGCTTGGAGTATCGGAGCTTGACGGCGCCGCCCGGGTTGGATTTTGGTGGGGTGAATGACAGGCTGGCGGTGGTGCCGCGGGCGGCGGGCCGGGCGGCGTTTGCTCGGCTGCACATGCTGGGGGCTGTGAGCGAGGGCGGCGGCGAAGCTGGCAAGTAGGGCTGCTGGGATTCGCTGCTCTTTGCTCCCGTCCTCCCCCTTGCCATTCCTGCTGCCACCATGCTTCTCACTTGCATGTCTCCACAGTTGCTCATCACTCCTCAACCCGTCTCTCTCTGCTGCATCCGTGCCCACCACTCACTGCAGGCGAGTGAACGCAGAGACGGTGTACGCGCGCATGCTGCAGCGCCTGAACGTGTCGGTCACGCGCGCGCACTTCCCCTTCTGCCTCGTGTCACACCACCAGTTCTTCAAAATGCTCGCCCTCCCCAACCTCCGCAACCGCCGCGGCGGCGACTACTGCCGCCCCTGCCAGCACGAGCCGCCGCCCAACCCGTTCTGCGAGCAGACGGGGCCGTGGGCGGCGGACTGGGCGGCGCAGTTCGACCAGCATGTGCCAAAGCGGCTGGCGGCGGGGCGGTGGGCGGTGATGGCGGCGGTGGAGGGCGGCAGAGAGGGGTGTGAGGCGCAGGTGGCACAGGTGGGTGGGGGTCATGGGCAGAGGTGGGTGGGGTTGACTTGTGTGGGAGATAGTTCACATGCTCACATGCTCACATGCATCCCTCCCTCCCTCCCTCCCTCCCTCCCTCCCTCCCTCCCTCCCTCCCTCCCTCCCTCCCTCCCTACCTCCTCATCTCTCATGCTTTCCCTCCACCATTTCGCATATCCCCCCCTCTTCATCCCCTACTTTCCTTACCTCAGCTCTCTCTCGAGGTTCGGCGCCGAACCAACCCATCAGCCTCGTTGACAGCCCCACCGGCTCGCCGTGCTCTCCTCACCCCGCAACAACAACAACAACAACAAGAACAGCAAGCATTAGCCTCTAACCGGCCAGGCCAAACCTCCCTGTGGCAGCACCTGCTGGGGCGGCTGGGAGGGAGGCCAGTTGCGAGTGGGCAAGAGCAAGGCGGGAAGGAAGAGGAGACAGCAGCAGCAGCAGCAGCAGCAGAGGAGGAGGCAGCAGAGGTGGCGTGGCGGGAGGCAGTGAGGAGGGAGGGGTGGCGGGCGCCAGTACCAGCAGTGCTGTGTGTGCGGCATGGGCTGGGGAAGGCAACGGTGTTTGGGGCATTTGGCACAGGGCGCTCTGGCAGCTGGTCCGCCTTCCTGACTTACCTCTACGCTTTCAACCACAGGTGCGTGCTTGGCTTAATAGATCAGGACTGACGCACTGCACCGCAGTGCATTGCACTGCACTGCAGCCAACATTCTGTTCATGCCGGCTGTCCAGCCCGAAGGTCGTTTTCTGATCGCGCTCACCTTTGCCTCACTCCCTTGATCCCCCGCAATCCCCATCCCCATCCCCTTCGCTGTCACGCCCTCTCCCCCTTACCCTCCTCCCCTCCGTGCAGCATCGCTGTGTCCCTGCCTGCCACACCGCCCTCCGCCGACCTCCTCTGGGACGCCCACCTGCTTTCCGCCCTGCCCTCCATGCGCCTCCTAATGCTGCCACCCCCCCCCGCCCAAGCTTCCGACGCTGCCGCCCAGCAGCAGTCAGCAGTGGGCGGCAGGGAGGTGGGTGCACAGTACAAGGCGGCCTTTGAAGCAGCGGTGAGGCGGATAAAGGCGAAGGAGGAGGTGTTGGGGCGGGGGGGTGCTGCTGTGGATGCGGACCATGTGCTCCGGGCTGCAGGGGCGTCCAAGCACGTGGACCTCATTCGAGTGAGTGTCAATATACATTACATGAGCGTTACATGAGCATTGCATGTGCACACCTGGGAGGAACCATGCCCGCCTTACACGTGCAAGCTTGCTGGAGTTGCAAGCACTGCTGACGTGTGAGCTGCGCGTGTGCCAGCTGCCGTGGATCTGGAGGGCACGGGGGCAGAGCATAAGAACACTCTTCCCTCAAAACTGCTCCCCTCCCAACCCAACCCTTCACCCCGCAACCAGGTGGGAGCGGGGCGCCTACCAGACCTGCAAGTGCTGCTATCCCGCGGCCTGAGCACGTGCCAGCTGCTGGTGGACGTGGAGGGTGCGGGGGAGGGCGTGCTGGCGCAGCTCAGGGGCAGGGGTGGGATGGGCGGGGAGCGGGGCGGGGAGGGGGTTGTGGAGGGTGGCGGTGAGCGGAGCGCTGATGGAGGAAGGGTTGGGGGGAGGATGGGGGGAATGGGGGGGATGGGTGGGATGGGAGGGAGGCGATTGCAGCAAGTGGGGCAAGGGGCGCTGCAAGGGGAGGGGCAAGAGGGCGAGCATGGGGTAGATCAAGGAGGGGCAGATGCGAGCAAAGAGCCGGAGGAGCTGGATGCGTTCTTGGTGCCGGATGACCCGCTCTTAGCTAAGTGGCGGGGGGAGGCGGAGCTGGGGGAGGTGCAGCGGTGGCTGTCAGGGAGGTCATTCCATCTGGACCGGTGTGTGTCGGGGAACGAGGAGAGGGTGGGGCGATGTACCTTCTTCTCCCTCACACATTGCCACGCCCCCGTTACTGCCCCTCAACAAACAACCGGTAGATAGTGTGTTCTTTACTGCCTGATTTATTGATTTTAATCTGATGTCCATTTCTGAAATCTGCTCAGTTCATTTCATTTCCAGTGTAAAGCTGTGGCTAATCCCTATGCATTATTGTAGCAAGAGCTTCTGGAATGCCTTCATAGCCAAAACATGGCCCAACTTTTGTTCAATCTTCCACGAAAGCGGTTCCTCCCTTTCCCTTGAGCATCATTCAAAACAGGGTTGATAAACAGCGACGGTTATCTGAAACCATGGTGGATGCCTGTGAGACACCCATGAGTTGCAAGAGGAGAGTCTAGAAGACTCTGTTCACGCCATTCGGCCTTGGGAGCTGGTAAACGAATCAAGGCTAGGCTAGTCCTACTGCCCAAGTGCATCTGAATGGGCGTTTGGCAGCAGAGGTGCAGAGCAGCAGCGGTGCAGCACGGATGGAATCAGGGGCATGACTGTTTGGCGCTGAGTCGTGTGTTTGTTTGTGCGTAGGCCTCTCAGTTGCTTGTCATGTCACAGCCACTCACACCGTGAGCAGGTCCTGAGGGGGAGGGACGGCGGAGATGGATGGAAAGGGGTGCAGAGGTGCGGTTGTTCGGTGCAATCCCTGACGTGGCGTGGGAGCAGGCATTTGGAGGATCTACCTCCAAAGATCAACTTGAAGAAAGGAAAACAAACATCAAGGTACGGAGCCTCCTGCACTGCACTGCAGATGTGTGGGCGGGTGGGTGTGGCACGGACCTTCTCCTTTTGCTTGAAGGCCGTGTCGATCTGCTTCACATAGTCGTCCGTCATCTTCTGCTTGCATGCACGCGTGGGAAAGGGGGCGGAAGGTGTAGCAAGACAGAAAAGAGGGAGGGGCGGAAGGGGGGGGGGAGGGGAGGGGGGGTACAAAAAGAGAGGGGTGTCCGAAGCGAGTGGGGTAAACAGAAGCAGAGGTTCAGGAATGTGAGTTTCCTGACAGCTAGGAGCAGGAAGGGGTGAGTCAGCAGAGGTTGTGAGGAAGATGTGTGGGTGCCTGCATGGCGGGTAATGCTGGCCAATCCTAGCATGCCACGTCACCTGGATGTCGTTTGAAAGGTCCTTGAGAGCATCCTCTGAGATCTTCTTCTCCTGCCATGCACCAATGGGGACATGACACGTGGCATGTGACAAAAAGAGATGATAAGAGACACGGTAAGCAGGAAGCTACTCTTTGCAGATAGCGTGCTGTAGTAAACGGCTCGCGCAAGATGGTGCAGGGCAGGGCAGGGCAGGGCGGCGCATGTGGCATGCAGAGCATGCAGCAGGAGCGCAGGCAGGCGGCAGGCATGTTAGTCACGGTGTGTGTTAAGGAAGGCACGCTGAGAGGGGTGGGGCAGGCAGTTGACTCTAGAAAGATTTGATTGTCAAGAGCGATGCCAAATGCGGTGGTCAAGGCGGGCGGCACCTTCTGCAGCTTCTCGTACGCCTTGATGGAGTCCCGGCGCACGTTGCGCAGCGCCACCTGGTGGCCATGCGTGGGTATGAGGGGGGAAGGGGGGCCACGATTACAGGTGGGGACAGAGGAGCAGGCGGGGAAGAGGGGCCAGCGGGGTGAGGGGGCGAGCGGGTGGGGCAGGGTGCCCAGGGTGCAGGTGGCAGGTGCAGCGGGGGTGGTGAAGGGCATTCGTGAGAGAGCCTTGTGTCATGCTTCAGCAAAGCTGTTTGCTTTTGGGTGTGGTGTGGGCATGGGTGTGAGTCGTGGATGAATGGATTCATGAGAGCACACTTGGCCTGCATCCCTTTCATGGCTCACCTTGCCATCCTCAGACAGCTTTGACACCGTCTTCAGCAGCTCCTGTTGCCGCCATGCCCACCCAAACACATTCCCATGACATGCCATGACTTGCCATGCCATGCCATGCCATGGCCGGCCGTGCACAAGCCCATGCCACGCCCACCCGTGCACCACACATGCCATGCCCATGCACATGCCGTCCAAGTATCAAGCCACGACATGCACGTGCATTGCCATGCCACTCCATGCCATGACATGCAGTGCCCACACCATGCCATGGCAAGGCGGAAGGGAGAGAAGAGGAAATTTGGAGTGGTAATTTCAAGAAGCCAATCTTGAGAGGTGGTCGGAGAGAGGATGGGAGGAGGCTGGGAGGCATCTCAGGGTGAGCGAGCATAGAAGCAGAGGCATGGCATCACAAGTCCATCGGCTGGCGACAGCAACCACCTCTCATCTCCTGCTCCTTCTCACCATCCCCACCCCTGCCCTCCCTCAGCCACGTTTCGGTTGTCTATGCTACTGCCTATTATTACGCCACCTCATTCCCACTGTGTCAGATTTTTACTGAACATATAGCGGAGGATGTAAGGGTGTAGAGAGTCTGTATGTAGTGCGTATGTGGCCCTCGGGAGGCAGCACAGCACAGCACCTTGCGGCGCTCGGCGGTGAGCTGGGGGATGGAGAGGCGGATGACGTTGCCATCAGAGGAGGGCGTGACTCAAAACACGACTCGGGGGAGGGGTGGGGATGGGGGGATAGAGCACAGCACCTTGCGGCGCTCGGCGGTGAGTTGGGGGATGGAGAGGCGGATGACATTGCCATCAGAAGAGGGCGTGAGGCCCACGTCCGACTTCATGATCGCCTTCTCGATGGACGGGATGCTGGGACGATGGGAAAGAGGGGGGGGGGGATGGAGGGAGAAGTGGGGAACGTTGTGATAAGGGCGAACGGGAGGGAGGCGGTGTACGAGCAAGAGTGGCGAAAGGGTGTGACGGTATGGACAGGATTCTGGTGGTCAGGGGGGGAGAGGGGGGGGGGTGGCCGCGGGATGAGGGGGAAGTGACAGAAAGAGTAGCAGGAGGGCGTGATCGCCTTCTCGATGGACGGGATGCTGTGTGAAAGAGGGGGGAGGAGGAGAAAGTGGGGGGTGTGTGAAAGGGGGGAGGGGGGGGGCAAGAGCAAGAGGAGCAAAAGGGTGTCAGGCCCACGTCTGGCCTCTTAATCGCCTTCTCTATGGGCGGGATGCTGGCTCAGGGGGGAAGGGCAGGTATTGTGGTGAATGTGAGGGGGGGGCTCTAATAAGTGCTTCACAGCACGTCTAACCTCATTATGGCCTTCTATTATGGAAAGAATGCTTGAGGCGGGGAAGGAATGGGGCGAGGCAGGCAGTGGGGCCGAGAGTGGGAGGGGTTCGAAGGAAGGGAAAGGAATGGCACCTGGATTTGTCGAAGGGCGTGACGAGCAGCATGGAGGCGTCGGGCGTAGCGATCTGCGCGATGCTCTTTAGAATCACGTTTGTGCCATAGTACTCCACCTGGCGGTAGTACAGCAGGGCATGGGAGGGTGACACGTGGCAATGGGAGTAGCACACGTGGCGATGTGAGGGGTACACGTGGCACATAGTGCAGCCAGCAAGGCACAGACGCAACTGAAGGCAGAAGCCAGATTGTAGGTGCAAAGAGGCATAGAGAAGAGGAGAGCGAGACCAAGAGTGGGAGCGAGAGTGAGGGTGAGAGGTAGGAAGGCATAAGGAACGGGAGGGGCTGACCTCGATGCGGTCCAGCAGGGAGGGGCTGGCTCGCCCCGTTCTGACCGTGTTGAAGTTGCCCCTCACGCTGTCCAACGTCTTCTCCATGCGCTCCATCTGCACCGCGTTGCACCGCAGTGAATCATGGTAGTGTGGCAGGGTGGGGAATACGAGGAGTGCCAGGGCGGTGAAGGGAGGTGAGTGAGCAGCAGAGTAAAGGAGTTGAACGAGGGAGAGGGAGGGAGGGTGGTGGATGGAAGGAGGCGAGAGCGAGGGGAGTGCCAAGCGTTGCCTGTGCGTTGGTGATGCCAGATACAAGCCTAAACCCTGCTGAAGAATGGCGGCCCAGTTATTATGCAAGTCTTAAACCCTGCCGTGCTGCCTTTGTGTTGCAAGCTCGCCAAGCGCCACACCCTCCCCTGGCAAGCACGGGTGCACTGGTCCCGCCACTCACCGCGCTCTCCTCACCGCGCCCAGGGCTGCACTCACCGCGCTCTCCTCACCGCGCCTAGGGCTGCACTCACCGCGCTCTCCTCACCGCGCCCAGGGCTGCACTGCACTCACCGCGCTCTCCTCACCGCGCCCAGGGCTGCACTCACCGCGCCCAGGGCTGCACTCACCGCGCTCTCCTCACCGCGCCCAGGGCTGCACTCACCGCGCTCTCCTCACCGCGCCCAGGGCTGCACTCACCGCGCTCTCCTCACCGCGCCCAGGGCTGCACTCACCGCGCTCTCCTCACCGCGCCCAGGGCTGCACTGCACTCACCGCGCTCTCCTCACCGCGCCCAGGGCTGCACTGCACTCACCGCGCTCTCCTCACCGCGCCCAGGGCTGCACTGCACTCACCGCGCTCTCCTCGATCATCATCAGCTCCTCCTCCACCTCCTCGTCCGCTGCCGCCCGCACCGCCCCAGGCCGCGCAACGCTGGCCCGCCGGGGATCCATGTGGGTAGGATAGGGGAAAGGTGAGAGGGTGGGGGTGGATAGGAGGGAAAGAGAGTGTGTGGTTGGGAGGGTGACGCGTTGTGGAGCGGGATGCAGGCCCATGAGAGAATACAGATTCGAGAAACTCGTTTCGAATCCGCGAGAAGCTACAAACCCGCCAGCCGGTACCTTTTCACAAAGCATTGCCGTCTTTGTTGCTTCCGTGCAGTTCATCCCTTTCGACTCTAGTTGTCCGAAGGTGAAGGGGAAGAGTGGCAGCGTCTGAGGCTTACCGTAAATGAGTCGCTCGGCGCGAGTCGCAGCGTTGCCACGAGGCGATGTGTGCGACGCTAGCGAGCGAGCGGTGTGCGCGCGAAGCGATGCGACGAGCAGGCAGCGAGGCCACGGGCGTCGCACGGCATTGCGACGAGGGAGTTGAGCCTGGGCGACAATGTACGAACGGGGATGGCGAAGTACGCGGAATTCGCGGAATGAGATTAAGAGTCGGGGGCATGGCGAGATGGGCGGAAATGGCGAACGAATGAACCCGCGTGAAGCCACGAAGCGACGTGGATCTCAGCGGAGCGATTATTGCGAGCGACAATTGCAGGTGCCAATGCGGCTGCGATGCTACATAGAACGCGGCGCGAGTACATGACATGCGGCGGCGCGTCATCGTAACCTACCTATACACCGCAATGTGCGGCAATCAGCCACCGCCGTGGCAGCCATGGAAGCCATTCCACGTCAGCGCGCAGCGAGCGGACGAGCAGGCAGGGCGTGTGAACCGTTGGCGCAGCGGCAGCTAGCAAGCAGAGGCGGATGGCGGCGACTAGTGCACTGGTCTGGAAGCAGCGAGCAAGGAGGAAAAGCAGAAATCTGTGCACAAGCAGTGAGGTTGATTGCTTTGAGGGATAGGCAAGGGAAACGAGGAGGCTTGTGAAAGGGGCAAGCGCTGGGCGTGGCTTGTGCTGCTCTCCACCACATCAGCAGCATTCCCAAGGGGAACGGGAAATGATCATATTAGGGCCGAACAGTGCCAGAGGGGTGATCAAAGTAGGGCCGGAAAATCTCGACCGTAGGATTTCAACCCGGAGCTGCCCGCACGGCTGGGCGAACAAGCCGAACCGTGAGTTAAAGAGAATTGCTGAAGAAACCGAATTGCGTGTAAAACTTCTTCAATAAGGGTTTTGACCGCCGTCAACTACAGCGCGCGCGTCGCATTGTTCTGGAATTAAAATTCGGCGTGTCAAATCGTGAGTACGTAACAACATATTTTATTATGGGTGATACATATCACCAACGCGATCGAAAACGCACAGTAAAAAAAATATTACCCATTCGAAAACGGATGCGCCTCGGGAGGCATCAACCCTAAATACCAGGAAGGTCCCCTTTTTTAGGGTTGATCCATCCCGAAACTGCATCCAGATTCCCTATGGGTTTTTAGTTTTTTTGCTGCCCTAAGAGTTCCCAGCAGAGTCGGCTCGCTAAACGACACGCGAGCGAAAATGCTAGCCAGTGCATACAACTAGTAACAGAATTACGTGCAACAAACGAGACCTCTCTGTTAATATCTTTTTGTGCAGCGGTTTGGTAATTTCCGGGCCTCTCGGCCCTTGGTCGATCACCCCTCTGGCACTGTTCGGCCCCTGCATGATCTTTTCCCAAGGGGAACAGATTTAGCGCCACGTCACCTGTGTAAAAATTGATATTTTTATTACGCAGGATTAAATATTTTAGTTTGAAACTTAAACATGTCTGGATGGTGTAGTCGGTTATCACGCCAGTCTCACACACTGGAGGTCTCCGGTTCGATTCCGGGTTCAGACAGACATTTTGCCGTTTATTTTGTCCAACATGATATATTTTCCCAGAGTCTTTGACTGGGAGTGCTGCAAGTATGGGCTACACTAGGCATCTGGGAAAATCAAAATACATTAAATACAGTATTGTAAGAATGATGAATAGGGATTGAATCTAAGTGGGTAAGCAAATGAGGCACAACAACAGAAGGGGCAGGAGAGTTCTAATACACTCAAAAAGACAGCTGCACAAGCCATAGAGGTATGGGAAAAGTGTCGGTGCTGGGATTCGAGCCCAGGTCTCCACGGCCACAACGTGGGATTCTAACCACTAAACTACACCGACTTGTTGTGGAGGTTTCTTTTCAACATTAGGTTTTTATTTTGCGTCGGCAAACACCTTACTCTCCCCCTGCCTGCTTGCTCCTTGGCCAACACAGCTGAAGCTGCATTGTATTTAGAGTGCCAGTGTAAGTGAGTGCAGCAGTGAAAGAGGCGGTCAGACCTTGCGGTACATGACCCTCCTCTCCCGCTGGTACTCCACCTCCCCCCGTGCCACCATGATGAGCAGCGCTCGCCGCACCTGATGCATGCAGCATGCGACGATACATGCCTCGCCCCATTCCACATGCCAAACGCCATTCGCCACATGATGAGCAGCGCTTGCCGGACCTGATGCATGCAGCATGGGACGATGCATGCCATGCCCCATTCCACATGCCATGCCAAACGCCATACGACACATGCCACACGCCATGCAACATGCACATGCCACATTTGAGGTTATACATGTGCTGAAGTATTGGGATGAGCGTTGCACACAGCACCTGCCAGGCAGACACCGAATGGGCAGCAATCCGGGGATCACACAGCCAGTAGAATCACACGCAGCCTCCTGATGCAGCAACAAGGCGGCCATGTTGCAAGGCGAATCAGGCAATGAGGCAACGAGGCGATGAGGCAATGAGGCAACGAGGCGATGAGGCAATGAGGCAAAATGAGGCAATGAGGCAAAATGAGGCAATGAGGCAAAATGAGGCAATGAGGCAATGAGGGCTCACCAGCATGCGCCCATGATCCAAGCCCCACCGCGCGCTCACTCATGCCCAAGCGACTCATCTCCTCCAACACCTATCTCTCTCGTACGAGCGCCCCAGTGGCCGCGCTTTCTGAGGGTTCCTCCAAACACAATCATAGGCTCGCCCGCATTCTCACTGATGGGCAAGCGCGTGATGTGATGTGATCCAACAGCCTGCACTTTACCTATGCTCCCACTCACACTCTCTCCTCCCCACCACCCAGAACTCACACTCCCACTCAACCGGCCAGTGCCTCACCGTGCTCTCACTGATGCCCCACCGTGTGATATCATCCAGCAGCCGCCTCTCCGATCCGACACGATCCCCCCCATGGCCACGCGGCGCCGCACAGCGCCCTGCACCTGCTGCACCTCCACCTGCTGCACCTCGCGCCGCTGCTCCCCCGTCACCACTGCTCCGTCCACCACACCCGACCGGGCGGCGTCCAGCGTCGCGACGTGGAAGAGACGAAGCGCCTCGGTGACGTGCTCTTCTGTGGCTAGTGGTGAGCTGTGGGGGGAGGAGGGGTGGGGGGAAGAATCAGAGGAAGGGGAAAAGTGGGGCCAGGTAACTGGGAGAGTGGGAGAGGCGGGAGGAAATGACAGAGAGGAAAAGTGGGGAGAAAATAGGGGGATGATCAGATTCAGTCAGAACGGCTACTACATCCACCACACAACTGCATGCGATGTCATTGCCACATACAGCTGCATGCCACATCACTCACAGCTGCATGCAACGTCGCTCACAGCTGCATGCCACGTCACTCACAGCTGCATGCCACGTCACTCACAGCTGCATGCCACGTCGCTCACGGCTGCATGCGCGCCATGGACTCTGAGAGCCTCACGATGGCCTCCAGCTGGCGAACCGTGATTGGCAGCGCTGATGCCTCCCCCGTCTCTGTTGCTCTCGGCCGCATGTTCTGACAGGCAAGGGGGTGTTGAGGGAGGATGATGCCACGTCATGTGATGCAGCACGATGAGATGGGATGCTGAATGGTGCGGTGCAGTGCGGTGCGACGTGGTGTGTGCTGTGGTGCGTTTCAACGTGTCGTCCTGAAACAAGGACTGTCATGGCACAACAGCAAGCAGCTCAAATGGCGGATGCGCAAATAGATGTTTTATAGCATTGTTGTGCTGTGCTGTGCTGTAATGCGATGCAACATGTCCCACTGCAACACAACGGCAAGCAGTGCACCTGTCGGATATGCGCGTGGTTGTTCTGCAGCAGCGCTGCTGCCGATTCTGGCAGCCGCGGTGAGCAGCACGTGCAAGCAAACTCAATGTACCTAATGGGGAGGGGGGGGGGGGGGGGGGGGCGGTGGGGGTGGGGTGGGGTTAGAGAGGGAACCGACGGGGAATGAGGAGCTATGCCACACCCTCTTGAGGCGAGCAGACTCTGTCTGTGCACCCGGCGTAGTGACCAGAAAAAGCCCATACGAACTTTCACAACAATGGGAACACGAGCATACCCGTTCATCCCTCTCAGGACCGCTTTCCCCTGCAGCGCCCTTTGCCCATCCTACGCCCATCCCCCACTCCTCACCTCTCGAGCCAGTTCTCCTGCTCCCCATCCTTCCCCGTGTGCCCCACGCCCCCGCCCCCGCAGGCCCATCCCCCATGCCGCCCCGTCCCCCCATGCCATCCCCGCCCTGCCTCACCACTGCATCCGCCTTCGCATGCACGTTCACCCCGTGCCGTGCGATCTTTGAGGCGCCTCAAAAGACCACAACATCCGCCTTCGCATGCACGTTCACCTTTTGCCGTGCGATCTGCGGCAGGGGAGAAGCGGCAGAGACAAGGGGTAGCACAGGGAGAGGCCTGAGATCAAGTAGGCCCGTTCACCACGTGCCGCGCGATATTCTGTGGACAAAAAGAGGCAGAATGGGGATTGGAACAGGTTGTAGTTGAAGTCGCACGTGCCCCTGATAACACAGATGAGGTCGAAGCCTCGGTCGTGTTGACTGGGCGAGCAGCATTTCGACACATGCGTTAGTGAAATAATAAAATACTAGGCTGACGGAGGTAGATGGGCAGACGCAACGCACGAGGTCGTGGTTGAAGTCGCGCGTGTCCTTGATATAAGGGAGTTTTCGTTTTGAGACGTCGCACAAACTCCCTTTTTCATCACGCGGTCG